CCACTGTGTCCCTCATCGCCACCACACCCCTCATATGATGCTGTGGTGATAGGATGTGTATTAAGAAAAAAAAATCCTATTTAATGACTTCATTAAAAATGAAAACTTACACTCATTATACCGCTTACTAAATACCTTGGGGTATCTACTTTCCAAAATGTTTATTTTAAAGGGGGGTGATTCTTTTCTATATCCACTCTCTATAATACCATAGTGAAATTAATTGGTGTAAGACTTCGTATGATGCCTCAGAATTGTTCTCACGCAAACTGGATTTCATAACATTAAAAGTTACTGGTGGAATGTCATGAGTGATACCTCAGAACCTTTAAAACTGGTCTTCGCATGTCTTTCAGTGACAAAAGTCGATCTAATTAGCATTTCAAGAATGAAAGATCTTATTTACCTTTTTACTGGAGTCACTCCAGTCAACCATTCAGGTGGTCCATGTAGACAACTGTTGTTGGTAGAGTTATCTGATGTGTACTTCATGTACCCAAGTCACCCAACATTTTACCAGTTTCTCAGCTGCTTCATTGAGAATTGACAGACTGTGTCCCTACCATTCAGACTATCTACAGTACCTATCGCATTTCTTTAATCTACTCCTACTGTTGATAACTTTCCTGTTTCAGCAGGGACTTCAAATCTTTCATTATTCTGACAATTTCCTTTTGACAGATACTTACCAACATTAGAAATTGCTTCTACAGCCCTATCAGATCTATAGTTGACTGTCAAATTCAAAAAGTCAGCAAGAAAAATTTTAAACGATGCCGATTTATTTTTTCACTATTCAACACTGTCAAAAACTGGGTAGAGATGCTTTAAGAAAAGATCCAGGCGATCAGATCTTGGGTGATGGGTAACTGCTGAAAATTGCAGCTATTGACTTTTCAGTGTTTGAAGATGACAGGCACATTGTCTACAACTATTACAGCAATACATTTGGCACACTAGTATATCAAATTCTTCCACACAGGTTTCTAAGACAGCAATGTCATTGTCTTAGAAAACCTGAGAACAATTATTCTTCAAGAAAGGACAATTTTTCAGGTGCAACAGTTTTTTTATTGGATGAAAGTACTGAACGTTTAGAATGCCATTAAACAGACCCTAGTCCCTTGTTTTCAATTACTGTAGATGCTATTGTATAGCTGAAATCGAACTTTATAAAATGAGGTGGAAAAAAAAAAAAAGTTAGGCTTAGAACTGCTCAGCCACTCACAGGAAGCTATTTTATGAATGAGTACAAAGCTTTCTCTGATTGGCTGAGGCAGAGATTGAGGCAGCGAGCAGAAACTTTGTGCTCATCCTGACTTGATTTTGCTCTGAGATTGGGATGACAAGGCCCCATCCCACTGCCTAGACAAAGCCCTGTATAATGTAAGTAGCTGATGTTTAACGATTTAAAAATCACAGTAAACATGGGAGTTAGGCTTTAACTCTCAAAGCAGATTTTGCTTTTAACTCTGGTCAATTTCCCAAAATTCAGGTTTCGGGTTGGAACGAATGGTATTTTGTGCCTTTTCAAGTTAACTTGGACACAGACTCACTCCCCCCCCCCCCCCCCCCCCCCCAGGGTCTACACAGCATTTCACAGTAAAGTGGTTGTAAAGGCAGAAGGTTTTTCAGTTCATGTTTCATATGCATGAAGGCAAAAAACAAAAAAACATTCAGAGTGCAGCTACTCCTGCAGCCCCCCCACCTTATACTCACCTAATTTGGGTGTGGAATCATCATTTTATCAGACGTGTTGCTGCACACAGGGAATGTTTACGCACAGAACTTTTTAACTTTTACTTATGCGTTTGTATGCAATTATAGGAATTGTATGTAGATTCATGAATTGTTCTCATCTTCACCGTTATTAGTGTAATAGTAGTTTGTGTGTATATAGGTGTGTGTATACATATATATATATATATATATATACACACACACACGCTATATTGCCAGAAGTATTGGGATGCCTGCCTTTACACGCACATGAACTTTAAATGGCATCGTCTGTAGGGTTCAATATTGTGTTGGCCCACCCTTTGCAGCTATAACTGCTTCAACTCTTCTGGGAAGGCTGTCCACAAGGTTTAGGAGTGTGTCTATGGGAATGTTTTGACCTTTCTTCCAGAAGCGCATTTGTGAGGTCAGGCACTGATGTCGGACGAAAAGGCCTGGATCACAGTCTCCACTATAATTCATCCCAAAGGTGTTCTATTGGGTTGAGATCAGGACTCTGTGCAGGCCAGTCAAGTTCCTCCACCCCTAACTCGCTCATCTATGTCTTTATGGACCTTGCTTCGTGCACTGGTGCGCAGTCATGTTGGAACAGGAAGGAGCCATCCCCAGAATATTCCCCACAAAGATGGGAGCATTTAATTCTCCAAAATGTCTTGGTGTGTTGACACGAGTTCCCTTCACCAGAACTAAGGGGCCAAGCCCAATCCTTAAAAAAATTACCACACCCCATAATCCTCCCTCCAACAAAACGTTACACTTGGCACAATGGAGTCAGGCAAGTACCGTTCTCCTGGCAACCGCCAAACTCAGACACCTACATTAGACTGCCAGACAGAAGTGTGATTCATCACTCCAGAGAACACATCTCCACTGCTCTAGAGTCCAGTGGCAGCGCGCTTAACACCACTGGCATCCGAAGCTTTGCTTTTATACACCTGTGGTCATGGAGGTGATCGGAACACCTGAATCCAATGATTTGGAAGGGTGTCCCAATACTTTTGTAATATAGTGTGCGTATTTTTTTTATATATTATATACACACACACTATTTATTCATTGGGTTGAGGAATTTTAGTTTCATTTCATTTTTGCACTTAACATTTTAGCGGTGCATATTTTTATATTTTACTATAGGGAAATGCAGAGTGGAGAAATCCAAGAGTCCCATGCTCGTGTCAGGAAAGGAAAATTCTCAGGCAAGTAAACAATTTTCTGGTTTCTGAGACTAATTTTGTGGATCTGTGCTTAGTGCCTCATATGTAGCCACATTTCCTACCTGTTTTTCAGCTTTTGTCTATTATGTGTACCAAGACCTACAACACTGCTACCTTTATCCACCTAGTATATGGCGATTTCGGTATTTTTATTTGATGAATGATTAGCCTCTTTTTCATCTTAAATGAGGCTATGTTTTTCATAATCAACTAAACTCACTCTCTAGTAGTAAGATGGGGTGATAATTGAGCCTCTCTCGGAAGAGGCACATATTTAGCCACCAGAATATCCCTAAGTACAAACTCTCGCTGGGCTATGGATTTATATACAGGATTGGCTAGTTAGCCATCTTTAGTGGGTATGACTAACTTTATCTGGAGAATGTTAACAGTTTTATATGTATACAGAACCGCTTCTGATTATGTTTTGGTGCCAGTTCACACCGGATTTGCACAGGAACACACTCCAAGTTCCTGTGCAATTCAATTTTCAGCCTATTCATTTGAAGAAGCTAAAATCGCACTGGATTGCACCAATACTAAAAAAACTCTGTAAACCAGATTGCATGGTACTGCGGCACAGGAAAATAAACTGCTTTTGGGATCTGTGTTTGGAGTGCCGTTAGGATTGCATTGACATCCACAGCACATCACACACCCAGTGCATTTTAAACATGGTGTGGCTAACGCGCACAGGAAGCAGGTTCCTCATATCACATTCTGGTGGGAACGGGGGGCCCTTATTTATATTAACATACTGGTACTAACAGTGTCCGTTGAGGAAATGGTTAATTTGTGTCTTGCTACAGATCTATTTCATTACCTACTACCACAGTGTGGAACAAGACCCTTTAGAGTCAAACATGTTACTTATTGCTTCCTAAGCCTTCGCGAATTTGTTTTTAACTGTATTGAAATGAATGTGAACCTTTATCTGCATCATTGGATGTGCTGATTATCATGTGTGAAGTTGTAACAAGCAGACAGGACTGACTGACAATGATGCACTCCACATTCTTCAATGACCAGGAGTGTCCAAAGCAAGAGGTGGTGAGCTGACCCTTTTGCTTACTTATTGTAATTAATCAACACAGAAAACCACACGTGAAAGGTGGTGTAGTATCCCTGAGGAATCTTATTTTATTGTCTTAGAACAGGACTGAACAATCCAGGTGTCATTTACAAGTGCTGCTCAACACAATCCAAGTGTTTAGTAAAAATGCTCTGTATCTACCACAGAAATCTCAAAAAATTGCAAACGGGGGAAAAAAAAGGTACAAAAACATTTTTTATTTGTTTACACGTCTCCAAAGTCTGAAAAACATCATTTACACCTCACTGCTATAGAGAGCCAAAAAAAAGGAGAAAGCTAAAATTGAAAAAAGGAAATTCAGGGGAAAAAAAGTCACACCTTGGCAGTGAAAAAGAGCCAAAAGTCACAGTAAAAGGAAAAGCAGCGAGGAGAATGACAACAGACTGCATACTTTAAACAAAAATATTTTGCAAATAAAATGTAACGTACAGGAAATCCTAACAGAGCAACAGAGGAAATGAGAATGGGCAAGCTATTAGATGAGGCAAAGAGATTGGTCAAATGCACAGAGGCTAAACTGGCACACCACCAAGCACACAGGCTGGCAGTGCAACTTTCACCCACATAACTGCCACACAGCATCATAGTCCATGGAGAAGTGGGAAGGGTGTATAGATACAATGACAAATCCTTCTGGAGACTGGTGGGCCATCTCTTGTGTGACAAGGAAATTCATTATGGTTTCTACTAAGTGATCAGTCCAGTTTCAACAAGGTAAGAGGACAATTGGTAATAAAACAATGCCGTATTGGTCCATTAAACCATCACATAAGCATCCCAGCAGTCTGTAGCAGCTAAGCAAAACCGATGCACCTCAGACTCGCAGGATAAGGTGTGGGAAAGGTAAGAACTTCAGAAAAGATGAGAAAAAGAGAGAGGAATGAGTAGAAATGGGGATTTTCTCCAAAGTAAATTAAAAAATGTGAGTGGATGGCATAGAAGAGCTGGAAATGTTACTTCTTCCTCCTTTTTGATGGGGTGGGAGCATGTCCATGACCCTTCCTCTTCTTATTTCTACTTTGCTGCTGCTGTTGCTGCTGCTCTTCCTCCTCCTCATACCGACTCTCACGGTCAGCTGAAAGAAGACATCCACAATTAATTAGGATGGGCAATACTTAAACTTTAGCAAATTTCAACAAAAACACATTTTACGGAGCAAGGCTTAAAGGGAATCTATCACAAGAGAATGTATGCCATCATTGCTGACATTTCCATTTGGTCCCCAGCTGTCATGCTGATGCTTTGGCTATATACTGTAATGTAAGTAGCTGACCCAGAATATGTATAGGTAGAGAATTCACTTTTCTGACATACATCCACATAATACTTGTTTCAGGTAAAACCTAAATCCAGATACAGCAAGGAATCTAGGAATTTCAAAAAGAGGCCAGAAATTGTAACCTTTGTACACATTTGTCAAGTCATAAAAGACCTGACATTGTCCTCAATAAGTGCAGCACCTTTGTGATGTCTGAAAATAGCTCTGTCAATCCACAAGCTGCCTGGAAGCTTTTAGGAATTGTTATTTTTTGCACTAATGACTTCCCTTCTCAACTTAAATACATATCACTACTATTGGTCAAGTCAGGTTGCCCATCATGGTGACAAGCCATGAGAAATGAGGATGACAGCACTTAAAGCTGAACTAAGCTATATTTGAGCTCCACAACCTGAAAAAGCTCTTTTATTCATTTTTAATATTTTAAAGAAAAACTAACCCATCTATCAATGTCTCCATGCTTTATTTTGTTGAAAGATCACTTAAAAGACATCTATCCCTAGTATTTCTAATCCTCTGAAAAGGCATTCTTTAAACATACTGCATCAAACAAGGATGAGCTTCATTCCTTTGGGAAAAATCATTTACATACATGAGGTTTCCGCAAAGGAACTAGCAGATTTTGGGGAATGCACCTTATAATATACAAATAATCTGGTATTAACATTGATCAGCAAACAGGCTGCCTGATCACATCAGCAAAATCGGAATATTTTATTGTTATCCATTTAACAGAAATTCCATTATCTGATTCCAATTATATATCACCACTTACCTTTCCTGGCTTCCTCTTCTAGTTCATCCCAGTCCTTCCCACTCTCTTCATCACTACCCAAGGAGTCTTCACTGTAAACTGATAAAAGAGGAGCAATAAATGTACAGTCAGAAGATCAGATATTGCCCATTCCTACAAAGATTTCACTATCTCTTCAAATATTTCTAATTACACCACGGCCATGGAAATACATATTGGTCATCATTAACTATACTTACCAGATTCTTCTGTCTCATCAGAATAATCCTCATCACTATCCTCCTCCTCATCCTCATATTCTTCTTCAGACGGGTTGAAGGTCTCATCTTCTACTTCAGACTCTGAACCATTAGCATCTCTATCACTTCCCTAAGAAAGAAAGGAAAACCACCATAATGAGAAAAAAAAAAAAAAAAAAAAGTGAATGAGGCTCTGCAAATGCTAACAAGCTGTGTACATATCTTTGGCTCACCTCGCCCTCTGGTTCAAGGAAGGACCAACCACCCTGTTCAAAGAACCCCTCAGGATCATCCACAATAGTCTTCATAATTTTTGTCCAGTTCAGTGACTGAACACCTTCTGTGTATTTGATATCACAAGAGCTGCATAAAAGAACACAAAGGAAGCATTAACATTCCATTTCTTCTCCCCAGTTTTTCAAAATACACCTGACACTGAACAAAAATGAGTATTCTTCATCACTTTTGGCAATTATTACCTAAGTGTTCTGCTACAATGTAACCACACAAAGAAAGCCAAGCCTTAAAAGCAAACCTAAACTCACATCCTTCACAGTGAAGGAAGCTGCAATCTTGGCCTCTGCTTGATCTGCAGGTTGCCATGGTGCAGCACTTGATTAGTTATGACACCGGCCATTTAATGGCTTGACAGTTCAGTTAAAAGCGAACCTAAACACACCAGTAATTGTACAAGTTATCATTTAAGGTATGCTGTGAATATAAAGGTTTTGGGAAACTGCTGAAGCGGAATTAATGTTCTGCTGTCCATCATTGGAGCAGGCAGGTTTTTTTTTTATTATTGCAAAGAGAAATGCAGTGTCTCGTCTGCAATAAAATTTACCTATCTGCTCTCAGCAATTCCTCCACATGCAAATTGAGCTGCGCATACACAGCTCAGCTTACAGCGCTCGGCCTGATCCCTGTGTGCTGAAAGGACAGCCTCCTGCCCATGCACAGGAGTGACACCATCCCAATGAAGATGGCGGCATGGGATGGGACCATTGGATGAAAGGTATTTGCTACCTTCAGTTCCATAAAATTCAGTGTGTTTGTTTCTGCTTTAAATGCATACTTACTAAAATAAATTGTCATTTTAAACAGTACAAGTAATCTCAAAATCCTACTTGTTGGCTTACTTACTTTAACCACTCCTTGATTGGATCAAGTGACGCCACAGGAATGGCATTGATCATTGTAACCTTTTTACTGTAATCCTTGTAGGCTATGACCATATCAAAATTCTTCAGGTGAAACTGGACTCTCTCAAAGTGCACAAGTTCCACTTCATCTAATGTTACAACAAATGGAGGCTGCAGATAAAAAAACAAAACTGCTGAAACAGGACACTTAAATCAATAAGTACATGTATTCCAGTCCTTGCATCTGTGGTCACAAAATGGAGGAATTCTTCATACTCACCCACTCAGTAGTATTGACTAGTGCACTGCTGGTGGGTTGCAAGAGGCAGGTACTTCTGTAGGGAGCTCCATTAAACCTGAAGCACAGAAAAAAGGTTTCATACATTTGCTCTAAAATAATATTTAGTATAAAAAGTCCAAACAGTTTTCACTTTCAAAATGAATGTGAACTAGACAAAGAACGGATCAGAAAGAAACACAAATATTACCCTAGGTCTCTGAAAGGAACCTCAAACTCAAGGTCCTCTTTAGTGAGAGATTCAACCTTTTCAATAAAGTTCTTGAATGCAGTTTTCAACTTGTGTCTCATTTCACGCTCCAACTGTTTAAAAAAAAAGAAAAAAAAAAAAAAAGAAGGATTTATTATACACTGCATCCACTCTTTACTAAAGTAATTTTTGATTTTAGTATTTAAAATCAAAATTTACTCCTGCAGCATCAAAGTAGCAACAAACTGTCACTCATGAAAGTATGCTTCTTGGTTTCTGTTCCCATGCTTGATCATGAGTTCATGCCAGGAGGCAGACTCATTGACATAATGAATTCAAACTAAGCTCCTCACTAAGGCTTAATTCTTCTGCTGACCACAACTCCTGAAATTAATATATCCAAGTCTGTGCTCCTAATGAGAGCAAACTGGGGTTTAAGGTTTTTGCCACTTGTGACCCGTACAATTTACCAGTGAGAATGGTGGCCAGAAGACCACCAACTAGGTTGTAGCTGGAGCCAGCAGAACAGTACACCTCAGGTCTTAAGGTTCTTAGCGTGCTCTGGAAATGAAACATAACTGAATATGCTGGAGGAGCCTGTTATAGATAGCGTGCAGCATTAAAGTCTCCCAGGCACACCTATGACTAGGACTCCTGATAAGTGTACTGACAGACAACATCCACAGGTATGTCTCATCTCTTTAATAAAATATACTTTTCCTTCCCCAGTGTAGCCCATACTTTCCTCCTCCTGCTGCAGACTAACAATGGTAAAGATCATGTAGGGAACACAGCCAACAGTGGACAAGAATTTGGCCTAGTTCCAGTGCTCACAAAGTAGCGTCGACAGCTATACTGCTTTCTCCTCTTCACACACTCCTGGGAAATCCAACTCTGCATTCTCGCACTTGTCCCAAGCTCCACATACTCCTGTAGGTACGGTTGACAAAGCCTGCCTCAACATGGACAAGCTACTGTCCTCTGCTATTACAGTTCCAACCGCAGATGCAGCTCCAGAGCATACAATACTAAGCCCACGTTGGCTCAGATTATGGAAATGATCTGTGACTAAGACTTTGATTCCCGAATAGAAAGCGTGTCAGAATCAATCTTTAATTAAAATAATAACTCAAATCTAACACAGAATAGCTTAGTACAGCTCTCCCCTTTCATCACGGATACCAAGGTACTACAGAGAGAACTGCAAGCCTGTCAGCAAAAGCTTGGTGATCTGGAGAATCTTAGCAGACAATTTACGATTTTTTTTTATGGTTCCTTGACAGAGCTGAAGGCTCCTCTCTTGAAATTTCCTGGAAAACTTGTTACAAGACACTTTGCTCTCCTTTGCATGTTTTCCATCATTCACTATTGATCAAACATATCGCACGTGAGAATTTTATTCACCACCAAGCAGTCTACCTTTTCTACTCTATGCCAATGTCCCGTGGTGGCTGTTCCAAGATGCTGTTCTGATATGTGTTGTTACTTTGTATACAGTTGTGCTCAAAGGTTTGCATACCCTTGGAAAATTGGTACTATTTTTAAGGTAAACATGGCAAAACACAATTACTTTATTTCCTATGGGATTCACATTCAATTCTAAGTCATAACAGAATGGAACAATCATAAAAAACATGACAACCAATAAACAAATTCAATCCCTGTTCAAAAAAAAGTCTGCATATCATAAGTTCTTAATACTGTGAATTGTCCCCTTTAGCATCATTGACAGCATGCAGGCTTTTGGAATAGTTGTCTTTGAGGCTCCTAATTCTTGTAGGTGGTATAGCTGCCCATTTGTCTTGGCAAAATGCCTCCAGGTCATGCAAAGTTTTTAGTTGTCTTGTCTCCCCAGAGTGGCTCGATGATATTAGGGTCAGAAGACTGATGGCCACTGCAGAACCTTCACCTTTTTTCTGTTGTAACCACTGGGGGGGGGGTCAGCTTGCCCTCGTGCTTACGGTCATTGTCGTACTGGAAAGTCCAAGAGCACCCTATGCGCAGTTTTCATGCAGAAGAATGCAAATTGTCGGCCAGTATTTTCTGATCACATGCTGCATTCACCTTGCCATCAATTTTCACAAGATTCCCTGTGGCTATGAGCTCACACACGCCGAAGACATGAGTGAGCCACTACCATGCTTCACAGTGGGGATGGTATTCTTGTTGCTGTTGACCCTCTAAAAACATAGCACTTATGGTTGTGCCCATAAAGCTCTATTTTGGTTTTGTCACTCCTGATTACAGTGTGTCAAAATCTGTGAGGCGTGTTAAGGTGTTGTCGGGCAGATTGTAACAGGGCTTTTTTGTGGCATTGGCGCAGTAAAGGCTTCTTTCAAGCAACTCTACCATGCAGCTCATTGTTCAAGTATCGTCGTATTGTACTCCTTGAAACAACCACAGTCTTTTTCAGGAGCAGCCTGTATTTCTCCTGACGTTACCTGTGAGTTTTTCTTTTTATCCTGAACATTTTTTGTTAGGTAGTTGTAGCTGCCATCTTTCTTGGTCTACCTGACCTTGTATCAAGAGATCCTGAATTTTCCACTTCTTAAGAGATTGAACTGTATTGACTGGCATATTTAAGGCTTTGGATATTTTTTAAAATCCTTTTTCATTTTGTAAAGGTCCATTACGCAGGTCTTTTGACAGTTCTTTTCTGCTCCCCATGGCTCAGTATCTAGCTTGTTCAGTGCATCCACGTGAGAGCTAGCAAACTATTTATAAACAGACATTAATTGCAATTTAAAAAGCCACAGATGTGGGAAATTATTCTTGAATTGCCATTTTAATCTGTGTGTGGCTGTACCAAAGCCAAACATTTCAAGGTATGTAAACTTTTGATCTGGGCAATTTCTGTTATGATTTAAAAAAAGAGCCAAACAACTAAGTGAAAAAAAATGGCTTCATATGATCACTATCTTATAGACAAAAGTAAAATGGTAAAATATCAAGATTTCGGCCAGGGTATGCAAACTTGAGCACAACTGTACAAACGTAGATCATTCCTTACAATATCTCTCTCCAAGGAGTGATCCTCTACTCTACTCTTATATGAGATATGGTTCGATAACTCCATGCTACCCAACACCATGCTCCCCTTGCTTTGTTCAAGCTGGTATGGTATTTTCCTCAACATGAACAAGCCTGAAATCCCATAACAAAAAACAGTTATGAAAAGGGGAGGGCTGTGTTATTCTGGTGTAATATGGTTTACTTTGGTTTCCTCCTCAAAAGTGGTCTTCTAGAAAACTAGCCTGAATTCTGCTTTCAAGTGGTCCCAAGTTTTCAATTTCCTCAGACAACATAAACCTCTTTATCTGTATGCAAGAAACCCATTTGATGGGTGCCAAGCTGCTCTTGCTAAATCCACAAAACAAAATGCTTGACGTGAAAATATTGCATTATTGTACTCCAGTCGAAAAATGTTTGAATTCATAATCCTACCCCACTCTAAATCCTCAGTTATGTAGCAAGTACAGGACAGAGGTAACATTCATACACCATGGGCTGTCCCCAAGCAATGAATATGAAGGGTGGGCAACAACTAGAACTGTGCCAACCAGTCAAAAAAACTGGGGTCAAAACACCCAAGGGGGTGGCCCAAAACAGGCTACAGAGGCTTAGTGCCGAACTGCCAAGGAAATTCCCACTGATCAGAAGGAAGACACTGCTAACACTGCAGGTGATTTTGCTTCGGAGTGTACACTCTTGCACTCCTTATCCATTGTTCAATGGTGGATTTTGAAGCAGGGAGCCCCTTGCAAGATCCCCACCCAGGAGGGAACAATCTGGTCTTTTCCATCCTCTGGTCAGATTTTTACCCTCTGCATCCACCTGCAGATTCATGACTTAAATGTTTGCCAACATACATTATTTTTAGCTGTTTAAGAATAAAAGGTATGCTTTAGGGCTTAGTGGGCTCTGTACGTAGAGAGATTGATGCACAGCTCACGTTGATTTACCACAAGAGAATCTGGTTTGCTTCCTACAAGGCAGCCAGGCTCCTTCTGCCCACTTAATGGTTGACACATGCAAACATGACTGCACCCAAATTAGGTTTCGCTTCAGAAGGGGGTTCTAGTGCTGCAGGGACAACCTCACTATTCTGAGCTCCAGGATGCTGATAGGAAGCTTGGTCTTCTTCTCTTGACTTTGTGCCCTGAACTGTCAAAGATTAGAACCCTCCTCCCCTGCCTGGTAAACTTTAAGGGCTTTCCAGTGGTAGGGATGGTGTGGTGAATCCAAAAATAAGGAAGTTCTTGCTTGGCTGGAGGCATAGGTAAGTTCAGGGAAAGCACCTGCTTTTTCCCCATGCCAACAAAATGTTTTGTCGAAGCTTGAATGGAATTCTGTTTGGGAACAGGGAAAATGTTGATTGTTTCTATGTACCCAAAAGTGCATGGCAAGATGGATGACTGTCAGGCTGCACAATGCCAGGGCTCCGGAGGACAGAAGAAATTAGCTTCTTAAGTTAGAAAGCAGGTTGTGTGATGCTCCCTCTTCAATATACAGTAATGGTAGTCTGGAGAAAAAAAAAAAATCTTCCACAGCTTCCTCCAATAGTACCTTAGTATGCTCTTCATTCCCTTCTGTGTCTGCTTCTTCAAGTACTAGCATATTGCGATCCGACTGAGGCTGAGAAATGGGAGTAGTTGACAAACAGGAGTAGAAGAAGCAGGGCATTTCTGAGCCCTGGACAAAGATTACTGTAGTAAGGCCATAATCTGTCCAAGGAATTGTGACACAGATGCAGAAAAGTCTGCTTTTGTCAGGTAAGTTGCAAGTTGTGTACCTGAAATACAGCTAGAATAGGAAACCAACATCAGTGTTAGAATCAGGTCCTGCTCTGATGCAAGGGACACCTCAGTTATGTAGGCCTTCAGCAGAGCAAATGTTCGCCTGAAACTTTAAATTTGCTCACTTTCACCTGTTCTCCAGCATAGCTAAAAGCGAGGGTACTCCAATGGAGGGTACCCATGGAGAAGAGTGCAGAAATAGGGTAAGCATGTCCGGAATTCGTATGCGGTAACCCAGGTGTAGACCGCCCTGTAACATATCTTACTGGTAAAGTGTACGTACCTATAAGGGCTGTAGGCAAAAGTAGCATTTAAGTGTGCAACTAGTGGTGTGATGTATCACCTGGCTATCCACCGAAGACTGGAGGGGGTTAAAATTTTAGCGCCAATTTTGAAGTTAGCACTGTGAAGTGAATACATCCAAACATGGCCCCATTTTTAGAGTAAAGGTCAGAGATACAAGGTGGCCACGTTTTACCTGTTTGCGACACTGGACTAGAATAATAATATATATATATTTTTTTTTTTTTTTTTTTTTTTTTTTTTTTTTAAAGTCCAGGGTTCGTCCATCACAGTGGACTTACCCATGAAGGGGTCTTCATAGTGTTGGTCCATGGCTATGAACCTGTACAGTGCCCTGAAACTGCATCGCACTACGTGCCAAAGTGAGTGCCCGTGCAGGATACAGTGCCCAAAACACCTTTCGGAATATGACTCCCAAGGTATTACCGAGGTTGCACCGATCTGGAAACATTGCTTCTGTGTAGGCATCAGACAGTGACATGTTAGAAAATAAACTAGTGAAGATGATTTTGTTCGCAAAGGAGAAGAGGTCTATCACCTTCAAAAACTAGCACTGAATGGGGTAGGGTTACAGGGAAAGCGCCCCCAGACAGCATGTTCTTAAAAGCTTGCCAGTGTCCAAGTAATGCGCCTATAACCCATGGTATTTGAATATGTTGCCTGTGTTCTGTACTATATGATTAAGTTCAGAATTTTGCTAATGGTACTTGAAACCAGAGAAAGACTTTTCAATGCAAGTCCTACAACCCTATTTTTCTTAAAAACACATAAGGCTCTGGCTAAAATCTTATCAGACTTACAAAATATGTACATAAGCTGGTCTGTTCAGATCAAGCTGGCTTTGTCTAATAGATCCGTTCACTTAAATACTCATGGGTCATTTACTCGATTCATGTCGATATTGCCAAAATTTGTACACAGAGCACTGTGTGCATGATTCAGTTTAGAAGGGCATACTGGCAAGTAATGGAACATTAAATGCAGGAGAGGCATAGTATGTCTTTTCTGCATTAGATCCTGCCTGTTTGACAAATGTTTTTTTTTCTGCTTAACCACTTCTGCCCATCCTATAGCATAACTAATGCTACAGGGCTGCGCAAAATCACACACATATGTGTATGTATATATATATATATATATACACATATACACACATACATACATACACACACACACACACACACACACACACGCCATTAGTAACTAGAACTGTCGATCACCGGGTCCTGGCCAGAGATTCATCGCTGAGGAACACTGACAGGGGTGAGGTCTGTATGTAAACAATACAGATCTTTCCCCTGTCAGCACCAGCATGCTGCTTTGTATGGCTGCTTAGCAGAGCCATACAAAGCAGTGTGCTTACAGTGAAGCGCACACACAGCACAGTTAACCCTTTGATCGCCCCAGATGTTAACCTCTTGTTAACCAGTGTCATTAGTACAGTGTTAGAGCAATTTATTAGCACTGATCACTGTATTAGTGTCAGTGGCTGTTAGTTTCCCCCCCCCCCAGTGTCAGAATGCCCGCCGTGGTCCTGCTATAAGTTGATGATTGCCGCCATTACTAGTTTAAAAAAGAAAAACAACAAATTCCAGTATCTATACCGCCATTTGTAAGCGCTATAACGTTCACGTAAACCAATTAATTTATACGGATTGGGATTTTATTTTTAGCAAAGACATAGCAGAATACATTTTGGCCTACATTTATGACAATTTGATTTTTTACTGGATGTGTTTTATAGCAAATTTTTTTTTCAAAATTGTCGTTTTTTTTGTTTATAGCGCAAAAACTAAAAAACGCAGAGGTGACCAAATACCACCAAAAGAAAGCTCCATTTGTGGGGGGAAAACCCCCCTCCATAAATTTCATATGGGGGTAGTGTTGCATGACTGAGCAATTGTCAAAATAACGCAGAGCCGTATCGCAAAAAATGGCCTGCTTAAGAATGGGGGTAAATCCTCTGGAGGGCAAGTGGTTAAAGTTCCACTTTAAGGACCTACAAATTACAATATGTTTCTTTATATGCGGATGATACCCAGATTTATCTGAAGGATCCCAATCAACCTCTGTTCCATCTATTGGCTATACTGAGTTTGAAGGATTCTCAGGTTTTAAGGTCAATTGGGAGAAGTCTCTGCTGTTCCTGTTAGACCCGGAAGCCGTCCAAAATATTCACCCTAGGTCTCAAACTAAGTTGCTGCACACATTTTTTATACCTTGGTCGAGATATGCAGAATCCAGTCTCCTATCACATACCCAACAAACGTCTCCTGCTTTTAGACACAACCTGCACAAAAAACACAGTAATGTACTGTCTCCCACTGGACTTTATGGATCAGGTGAATCTGATATAAATGCATTTCTTCCCTAAAAATTTCTGTATTTCGGCCAACTTACCCTGTGCCATTAAGTCTACACAATTCTGAATGCTGTCAAAAAGTTGACAATCGTCAAACAGTACTTTCGTTAAAAACTACACAAACTCCTCCATTATGCTACTACAACCACCTGTAAAGATTCCTAGTCCACCTCCCATAACATCACAGTTTGGGGCAACTCTTGTTTACCCAAGTTGCTCTCAAATCCCTATACAGGATTCTGGTCTTTTTGGGTCTTAAATTTGTGCATCAGGATTTTTAATGGAATGAATGTTTAAAAGTTTTAAGACAATGCAGTTATAAGTATGCAATCCTTCATATCAAAAATCCTATACTATTACCAGTTTTTAATACACACAGTTCTTCGTAATTTCAATGCTGATACAGTGGTCATTCAACAAACCCCTTTAAACTCTCACGGTCCCCGCATAACACTGAATTGATTTCCAAGTATTATACTACGTTGCTCTCTGCTAGAACAGACCAGACCAGACTCCTGTCATCTGGTCTAAATAGTATGATATATTTCCACACATGTTAATAGATACCCTCTTACATATATATCAACAAGGGTTTGATGCAGTTTCAAGTGGTTTGAAAAAAAATGTGGGACCCACCCTACGCTTACCATTTGGGCTATTATAGAATCAGAGCAAATGTGAGTTTCCATCAAAATGTGCATAAGGCCACATCATATCTTTGTGGTGCATTATCAAATAAACATTGCATGATGGCAGCAGTTTTATTCTGAATGAGTTAATAGGGCATCTTCACACATTAAAAATTTACCATCTTTTACTGCAACATACTGGTGTGCTGCAGTGCAGGTGCATTGGCCAGTACAATAACAGTGCATTGAAGTGTCATTCAGAATTAATAACATCACAATGCACACACAGTTGTGAGTTACCATGCACTGTGATAACCCATGGTAAAACATGCTTTTACTGTGAGTAAAGGGAAAAACTTTTTGTAATACTAAAGCTACTGTTCGCCCCTCTGGACAAACCTGGGGATGCACTATATTTACTAGGTTGACCACTACTCATGTGCATAGTCTGGGATATGTGTCTGCCTGACATACTATGTACAACAGTCAGCAAATAACATTACATCTTCGTAATGAATCTTCTTCTAAGCCAGGGGTCCTCAAAACTGCAGCCAGATACAACCCACCAAAGTCATGTACCTGGCCTGCCTGTCATTGAGAGCTGAAACAAGGAGCATGGGCGTATCTGCCAAGAAGCAAACTAGGTGTTTGCACAGGGTTGCATTTTCTAAGGGGGCGCCGCTATAGGGGGTCAACTGTCCCCTGCCAGGGGTGGACTGTATCACACATGGGAGAGCTCGACTCAGGCGGGGGCGGCAGTTTTATCTCGGCTGCACGGGTCCGCAGTGAAATCAGAGGTTTTCCCATTTACTTCACAAACCTGGCTCACAAACCAAACTAAGGCCAAGTTCACATTGGCTTTATAGGCAGGCGTTTTTAAAGCTCCTCAAAGGATGGCAGCACACATTGCTGTTGACACTGAAGCGTTAACGTCGCAACAAAATTGACGCCTCATGTGGGAGTCAGGAGGAGTTGAAAGCCTTTCACACCTCCCATTCAAGTCTATGGTGACTCTCCTCCTAAGCCTGGCAGGTGTTTGCGAGGTGTTAAAACCATTAACTTCATTATAGGAGTTTGTGGTGTAGTTTTTAACACTCGGAAAACACCTATATTTTTTTCGCTCCTTCATTAAATCCACAGTATGCTGACCGTCTCCTGTCTGCAGTATACGGACCATCTTTTGTAGTATATCCACAGTTCCTGACCTTCTCCTGTATCCTGTCCGCAGTATACTGACCGTATGTTGGTTGGACAAGCCAAATGTTTCACAAAGCATTTTGACACTTATGTTTCATTCTAAAACATCATGCTTTATCTTATTTAACAATGTTTACAATTGTTCTTCATTTTAAATATTGTATTGTTCTTTTCTGGATTTTTGCACTACAATTAAGATATGTGGGTGTGCATAGGAATTCGTTCATATTTTTTTCAAACTAGTTCGGCCCCCAACAATCTGAGGGACAGTGAACTGTCCCCGTTTAAAAATTTTGAGGACCCCTGTTCTAAGCTCACCTGTTCAGCATAAAGATCATCGCGGTCATGCATGTGCTGGTGTTTTCCAAGATCTGTAGTGATCTCTCCAACTTCTGTATAGAACTGGACATCTGTGTGCCTTTTCTTTCCAAACATTATGGCATTCTGTTTCATAGTTAAAACCAGTATATTAGTATATGTAACCAAACTTGTTACATCAAGAAAGCGACTAGCATATTTGTTACCTTAAGATGAAAATGAAGTACAATAATCATCTCCCCATCACAAGGCTGGAAAATTGCATGTTTGATGTTATTATATAAAATATCCACTTTGTCTCCTCTAACAGATGTGAAGCGAAAACCTAAATAAACAAACTGGATTAGACATAGTAGCGACACTAATATTCACTCTTAACATTTAAAGTAACAGAAGCAAGATAGACATTTTCAACCAGTAGCTCCATCCCCACCAAATCATGGAGAAAGTCATCCTCAGCTGCTGTTTTTTTTTTTTTTTTTAATTTTTCATTTAAGCACTAAGCTCTCCTCATTGCACTGTCTGTTTACACCCGACTGCCATCTGATCCGAGAGACTTAAGGGGAATGGATCCCCATCTGTGTTTTTATCAGATTGTATGTCCGTTTGTCACATGTCTGTTTACACCAGCCACACAAAATAGGAGAATGAAGGGTCTGATTGGATCTGGCTGAAAAACTGACAGGCAGACATGATCATTCCATTCGTGCAAAAAGTGCCTCACTGCACTCTGCTGGTAGAATACAAGAAATCCCCATATATTTTCACTGTAATTCAAGTAATGTGCAGGCAGTATACCCACAGAGGAAATAGCAGTATTTTTACATCACTACATTTTGCAAAAGAGTTTAGCTTACATGGTCCAGTGACATCCCACCAAAACGTTAATCTTTAGCTGGACTATAACATAATGAACTTTACCTCCTATGTGAAATGGCATCTGTAATTCTTAGCTTTCAGCTGGCTGCTGAGATTTTATAAAAGGATACTTCTGACAAGGCATACCCACCATTTACATGGGCTTCAAGAGAGCCCTGCATTCTCTTCTGGGCAATGTTGGGCCTAATATAAAGGTCTTTCAGTTTAGGGTTGCTACGATTGAGGTTGATTATGAGGGAATCTTGCTTGACTATGCCCTGTAAGGGACAAGGGAGTCAAAGGACAGAATTTAAGAGAACAGACATAAGCCAAAGATATTTAAAAAAAAAAAAAAAAAAAAAATCAGGCTATTCATTTATCCTCTCACCTCCTTCTCTTTTTCTTCTGCCTCCCGAGTCTTGTACCGTTTCTGCACTTCTTTTATAATGCGGAAAGCATTCTGCAGGTTCAGTGATGGCACAGATGATTCACCAGGGGTCTTCATATTCGAGGCTCGATAAGTTCTGAATTAAACAGTTCATAAGAAATAGAAGACTACAGAAAGTGATGTTAGAACAAACAGAAATTCACTTACATTTCCTTTACAAACGTGGCATCAGGATTGGGAAATATGTTTCCTTCATTACGCCCTAGGGCACTGCCTGGGCAGTAGAAGTTGATTCGGAGGTAAGTATAATCACCTTCAACTGACATACTGATATTCTGTGAAAAATCAAAAACACAATGCATCAAACATACATAAACATTTCTCTCAAAGTTGTGTATTTATTAACAAAAAAATGAAGACTGGTCAAAATAATAAGAATTTCCCTATCATATATTGTTATTCCAAATCCATTAAGGGACTCAGGAATTCTGAAACAGTCAGGATATACTGACGTCTAAAGGAGGTTACAAGGCTGGCAAAGAGAGTTGTACGCCAGTCCCTGTAGAACTCAACCTCTGCCCAGCATGCCTCATTTTTGTGAGCAAACAGTACACTGGGCTAAACAAGGGAGGCAGGACCTCCATCCTTTCATAGGCTGGAAGCAATAGATTTTACAGTAAGCACAAAAGTCTTATTTTTGTCATCGTCCACTGAGGTACACAAGAACTCAGAAATAGATGCTAAAGATGCTAAAGCAGTCCAGCTGAGGAGTGGGCGCAGCCACTGACTGTGCCAAATGAGTTTGGAAACAAATCACACAGAGAGGTGATATCTTAAGGACCAACGCCCGAGTAAAGGCTGAATGAAGAGAAGCCTTTGCAGGGCAGGGAAACTGGGGCGACCAAGTAGAGAGCAGTGAGGATCAACATGGTGGTCAAAACAAAGACCATCAAAAGGCCCTAACCCAACCAGCAGACTGAAGGACCAACCAAAAATCCACCGGAAAAGAGTTGAAGGGGAAGAAAAGAGAAAAAAAAAAAAAAAAAACACCACGCAACTACCCACACAAGCGGAAACAGGACCAAAAATGAGAGGAGCAGAAAAATTAATACCCTGGGCCCAAGCAATAAAAAAGGTTCTTAAGTGGACGTTTGAACAAAAACAGGTCCCAAGAAGACTAGCTGGACAACAGCAAAACGGGCAAGCCTTGCATCACTAACCATTGGCAATCAAGAAAAGAGGATCCATGATAAGAAAGAAGTTGCCCAGTCAACGATTTTCTCAAAGATAGCAAATTCTGTGCGAGCCTTTACAGTAGAATATCTCCATGAACAGACAAAATGACCCCAAGACTAGCAGAAAACCAAACAGTACCAAACCTGAAGTGGGAAGAGTGAGAGTGGCACCCGCACAAAGAACAGTCATGGATGAGGTATACCATGATCCAGACTAATGCTCAAGTACATCAAAATCAGAGGCATAAGCAGGGTGCTTCTCAACCAAACACTCCTGAAGGAGAGAAACAAACATGGAAGGAGACGACTAGAAAGGCATCCCAAAAAAAACCCCAAATGGAGTAGGGGGAGCATTGTGAGCTGCATTCAGAATGGGTCTGCAAACAAAAGACCTCGCAAAGTTCTCGGACTGCAAGACCTGTTACTGGGGGACCCGAACAGATCCCGACTGTACCAGGGATAGCAGTAGGGAATGGTCCTTGAGGACATTGTAGGTCAAAAGGTACTTCAGTAGAGCAGTAGAGCTGAGGAGTATTAGTGTCATGAAGAGAAACACCTGAGATTAAAGAACTCCTCTGCAGAGGGGAGTGCAGGTCTGAATGGAATCTCAGACTCCAAGAATAAGCTCCTAACAAAAGAATTCAGAGGTTCCAGGTAGTGGTGGACCAAAATGAAAATTCTGGTGCTGAAACCAAAAATTCAGGATGCGCTTGGCCGAAAACTGAAACAGACAGTTTTACATTTTTTTGTAAAATGTATTTAATGTGGCTGGCGATTTTGCACTGATGTCACAAAGGGGCATTTTGCATTGAAGTCAATGGAAACGCAATTTTGCATGAAATTCTATGGGATGCGATTTTGCATTTATCGGCACCAATAGCAGCAACCTTTTTTTGCTATCGGCAGAATGCCGATAATGCTATTTTCGGCTGACATGTTTTGGCTGCCGATATATCGGTGCATCCCTAGTTCCAGGGTTCGGCAAACCCAGAAAAAGCTAGGAAGATACACAAAGTCCAGTAATATGTGTAGGGTGAAGAGAGGAAGCTGAAAGGAGATGTCAGATTCAATGGTCTAGGCTGAAGACTACAGGATGGTGACCTGCATACCGAGGAAGTACCCAAGGAGACAGCAACAATCTGCCAGCCCCATTCACTGTTGGAAGTGGCGGTGCAGCTTCATGCAGAAGGCTAATAAGAGTAAGTAAGCCAACTTCTAGTTGAGCCCTACAGTCTGAGTGGAAGGTAGACTCTGCATGGCAATTTGATACTACATCTACAGCAGTTCCTGCACCTGCACCTGCTCTACAAGCCTCCTATGGTCAGGCTTCGACCATCAGTGGCGTGTCTAAAGACCGTGTCAAAAGCAGGTCCAAAGTTAACAACCTTCGGAGGGTAAGGCTCTACTCACACTTGTGCGACTTCAAAATCGTGAGTTTTTCATTGCGACTCTACAGTGCGACTTGATGCAACTTTGGCTTTCACCAAGGAAAATTGTTCCTGATGTACAAAGTTGCACACAAGTCGCATGTACAACATTCAGGTGCGACTTTGGAGTCTATGGCCCTCAAGTCGCATGAAAGTTGGACCTAAGTAGTTCAGGAACTACTTTGAAGTCGCTGTGACTTGAAGTTGCTCAGATATGAATAGTACCCATTGGGAAACATGGGGGGACACTTGTCATGCGACTTTGGACCACAAAGTCACATGACAAGTCGCACAAGTGTGAATGGAGCCTAACAAAGTCAGATGTTCTTTGACTGTATCATTGGTGTTCCAGGCATGTAACCAAAGTGCCCTATGCATGTGAACTGACAAATCAACTACAACACACAAAGCTGCAGTCATTTACATCAAACGCTCTTTGAAACAAAAGCCTACCCAAATGATGAAAAGATTCTCTAGGGGATTTAAAACCTAGGCAACACAGAACAGGGATCTAAGCAGAGAATTGAACTGTCTGAAATCCTGAAAGGTGAGAACACCATCAACCTGTTTGTCCTTAACCTAGATCCCATCTACATTGGGGCGAGACCACCAAACAATACCCTTTCTAAGGGAAAACCTTCAAAACATGCTCTAGGGGACCTAGAATCCTTTAGGATGTTTTCAGTCCTTGTACAAGCATGAATTAAACAGTGGGTGCAGCAAGAAGTTCTGGGACTGTAGGCTGATTTTCTAGAAGCAGAAGAGATTGCAATCAAATTGCATCAATTTAATAATAACCCCATGCAAATCGGAATCATCTGCTCAGCCTCTTCTGAGGCAGGCTGTTGGGACTCTGAAACAGAGATAACAGGGGTCTTGGGGACATTCTAAGTTAGGGGCCCAAAAGGGTCAGAAATGCACTCTACCGGAGCAGGTTTACAGACTCTGAGCAGTGCTCCAGTAAATGGTCAAGTCCAAAATGGACATGGAGGTCCTTGTGAAGACCTCAGCAACACATGGCAGAGATGAACAAGACCCTGATGAGGATGACACTATAAAAGAGGACCCCAATTCTAGATTACAGGTGTGTTTTTTTTCCAGGATACAAGATGGATGCCCCTAAAACCACTAGAGGAGGTGACTGCCGAGGTCAAGCATTGCAGAGAAACTCTATGCATCTTGGAGAAGACATTAGGCACTGCATAGAGGAAAGCAACTAGGCCCAATGTGAGGCAATGCCTGGAGGAGCTCACAAACCTAGGTAGTTGATGGGGAAGAGGGTTTAAAACAGCATAAGGTAAAAGTCAATGTGGACAGGCAGTGAAACAAGATCAGAGGCAAGATGATCCAAGGTAGTGTTCCTCTAGCCTGAATAAGTTGTAAAGACCACGCTGAGCACTTCACATAACGAATGGTGTCAGTGCTCAGTTCGTCAGCTTTAAAAACTTTACCACAGTGGAACCAGCAGTGGTAAGAAATATAAAAGGTTCCTAAAGGTAGTAGCTTCCGATGCTTCAGCCTGACCAGCCTTACTTGCCAACTGATCCTTCAGAGACAGGGTCACACCTGAGACTGTGCCATGGTCCTGGACCCAGAAAAAGTTCTGTAGCTAACAAAAACACAAATGTCTGGAAGGCACCAAATGCCAACAGTCACATTTCAGGATAGCCGTACAATCACCTAGTCCTTAAAAACTTGGAACAGCAGAAGCTCGATGCCGAGTTGCCCAGGAAGCACTAACACTACTGGTGGAACGGCCTTGACCAGCAAAGGGGGAACGTTGCTCTTTAAAAGCCTAGAGAAAAACTGATAAATTTTCAACTAGAAATAATGGATCGAGAGGCAGTCTGACCCTTGCAAGGACTCAAGCAAAACAGAGGACTGTCAAAACGAACCTGTAGAAGTCAGGTAAATTTGAACAGCTCAAACATCCAAAGTGTGAAGCACATTACGATGTTGAGGATTAGAACAAAAAACAAAAATGGAAACAGTGTTCTGATTCAGGTAGAATGAAGAAACCACCTTAGGTACAAGAGGACCATGACCTCAACACCACCTTATCCTGATGAAGAACCAAGAAAGGTTTCTTGCAGGAAAAAGCAGCTAAACCCTCTGCTCAGCAAGCTGCAGTAATGGCAAAAGACAGCTTTGTATGTAAGGAGCGGGAAAGAAATCTCTCATGAGTGTCTCAAAAAGGCAGAGAGGTCTGCAAAACAGACAAGACCAAATAAGGCCTCATGGAGATAAGGACCACAGCATAAGCTGAAAAAGCCATATGAAGCCTTGCACAAAGGCTTTTCACCAAGAAATGAGGTATAAATAGGTCTTTGAAAAACAACAGCCAAGGCAGCGATCTGACAGTCAATGGTACTTAAAGCCAGAAACATCTCGCATGGAAGAAAAGCCAAAATACATGCCATGACATACTGTTGTGGGTGAAACTTGCAAACCTCACACCAAGCCTAATAAGCCTTCCATGTGGAATGGCATACCTTTCCTGGAGGTCAACTTTCTTGCCTTGAGAAGGGTAGGGTAGGAATTACAAACATCCCTATCCCTCATCAGGACATGGGCTTCAAAGCCATGCCATAAGGCATGACTGTAAAATTGGACTATTCAGAGAAAATTGATCCCACGGAGTCATCAGGACCTCCACTGCAAATGCTTAATTACTTTTTCAAGACACAAACCTGTCCAGTTTGTTGTTGAATCTGAAAACCATAACATCTAATGTCCCCACCACAGGCAGATATCTACAAAACACCTCTGGGTGAAGGGCCCATTTCCCCGGATTTAGCTGTTGATGTGTCAGCAGAAGGCAGAGAAAAAGCAGTACACTGATCTTCAAAGTGAAGAGCTGTGCAGGTGGGGGAGGGGCATGTCAGCAGAAGTCTGAACATTGGAGTACAGGCAGGCTGTGCTCCCAAGTAGAATACATTTTCAGTTTCAAATAGGAAAGCAAGGAGACTGTGGATCACCAGGTATTTCAAAAGGATGCAATGTAAAGATAACAGAATTACTACATGGTAACAGACACATATCAGAAATATAAAATGTTGCAGTAGTACACTTTTTTTTTTTTAAAGTACAGAATTGGAAAAAAAAAACTAATTTGTAAAATAACGTTGCAATGATTTGTACCAGAATCATAGTTTCTGTGTCATTTTATACAGGACAAATATGACATTTTACTTTATATACCATTAACAATTTGTTTTATTTTTAAACACTGGTCAAAAAAAGAAATGTATTACTTTATCTTCAGTAATGATAAAGTTACTGTCAAATAAATAGGTTCATAGCAGAAATGTAAGAAATGCTCTGGTCCATATGGGGTATACAGGTGTGAGAGGTGAAATGGTTAAAACAGTTGGGCAAAAATCTTACCTTTATGGTGGCAATATGGAACGGTGTAGCAATGCCAAAAACAGGCATAATTACAGTCTCATATTTCTTGTCTATACAGATTTTCATCTCCCGGATCTCTGATTCCTTTGGCATTTGAGATGTATTTTTGTAAGAGACATTAGACTTGCGTGCTCTAGCAAAACAGGAAAAAAGTATATTTAATTTTAAAAGTAATTTTGAGTTAATTAAAAAAAAAAAAGAAAAATATGTGCTTACCATAAAATCTATATCTAGCCCTTTAAAGGACACAGGACGCTAGATACAGCGGGTTACACTGCCGCTTACAGGAGGTTTGCACACACAAATAAGCCAGCCACTGTAAACCACATCTTTATCCAGAATGCCTCAGATTTGTGTAAAAGCAGTACCACTGGACCCATGTCCCTCAATGGACTCCAAGAAATGGACTTAAAAAAAAAAAAAAAAAAAAAAAAAGAGGCTAAAATCCTATTTTTTTTCTCATCCATTGAGAGACATAGAAATTCACTCTGGACATCCAAAAGTCATCCAACTGAGGGATGGGCAATAGTTACTCTCAGGCCCATAAGAAGGGACTGGGAACTGTTGGTAACCTAGAACTACCTAAAAGGACCAACACCCAAAGAAAGTGAACTAGATTCCCCCTGGGGAAGTTGCCAAACATCCAAGAGAAAGCCCCAAAAAGATCAACCTGCTGCTCAAGACCAGGAAAAGGAAAAAAAAAAAAAAAAAAAAAAAAAATCACCAAAACAGGTGGAACACACACACACCCACCGGGGCAAGATAAAAACAGATCCACAAAAGAAGACCAACAAGATTACATGTCTTACACTCTCACACCTATCTTAGAATTCAGAGAAGGAACATTCCATGTCAAAAAGTTATAAAAAAAAAAAAAAAGATAGCTTGGCCAGGCAACCAATTTCACAAACAAACTCAACAAAAGCGAGATCAGCACAGTGCAATCTCCAATAACAATAGCTAAGTGACCCCTGAAAGTGGTGAAGAACTCAAGGATACAAACTATGAAGTCGGCCTGACTGAACAAGGGAAGAGTTGACCTAGTCCCACTAAGGCTTTCAAATTTACTACCCTAAACCCTACAGTGGATAACTTCAGCAGTGAAATCCAACCAGAGATCTTGAGGTGACATCTCCACTGTGATCAGCGAACCTAACTCTTTCCATGGTAAAACCAAAGGCGGCATGAAATCTGAAGAGAAGCTCAATGGTGTAAATAGGGAGGTAGCTCTTGGTGACCATCCTTACTCACTAAACAAGTCTTTAGTGCCTATGGACCTGCAAAGCAATCCGTGGCTAACAGTACACTCAGGTTTGTAAAGTGCCTCAGTGACTAAACGTCGCAATCATATTCCAGGTTAGTCCCGCACATCTAACTTGGCAGCATCTGGGTATGGCCCCCAAAGCTAGTTCTGTGGAAATGTTGGATAGCTTCTACACAACTGCTACAGGGATTAAGCAGAGGTGTCAGCAAGGAATCTTGATTAAAATCACTAAAGAAAGAAATCCCACAATGAAAAGGCAGACAGCAAAAAATGTGTTTTTTTTGCAGGGATAAAGAAAAGGTGGCTGACCTCCTAGAACACTAGCAGAAAATGTAGGCATGCTGGATAGCAGGGACATACGGTGCCTAATTTATACTAATTTGTTATACCAGTGCCTAAACCTCCTGGAGGCAACCGTATAAACAGTTCCTGTGTACCCTCAACAGACGAAACTGAATACTGGCAACTGAAACTTATTTAAAAAAAACCAAAATACCTACTTCATGGTCTGCTGTTCTCCCTTCTGCTCTGTTAACCTCCTTCTTGCTTCCTCATTTAACTGGGCTGCAAGTTCTTTTTGATGGGTGCGTCGTTTCTCCTCTGCTGTCATTTCATTCTACAAAATATATATATGCAAGATGAGCGATGGCATCAACAAAACAAAGAACGATGAGACCAAAAGTATAGGGGTGAAAAATCCACTACTCAACACATTCCCTTATCGCGAACATACTCTGGTCCTATCAGTGAGCAATGCAGCAGATCTGGCTCCTCGGCCCAAGAGGTCCTCTGCTTCATCTTTCTCTTCCTCCTCTTCCTCTTCATCTTCATTCTGTTGAAAGACAAGATTTCCCATTTACCGCTAAGATGACACTGGATCAATCTACACAACATACCTATAAAACTTCAAAGAACAATTTAGATAAACATTTATACAATAACAGGGATATGTAAAAAAGCAGTCAAACGATAATTTGTACACAAGCCGAAATGAAGGCGCTCTACACACCTCTCTGTACAAAATTAGTCTCCAATTCTATTTGGTTTCATAGAATGAATAAAGCGGATAGCATGCAAATAAGCGGTGTTCTTGCTTCCAAAACCTCAGTGAAACCCTCTTAACGGTTAATTGTAATTACACCTTGCTATTCACTTTATTATGGACTGTCACTCTGCATTCAGTCTCACAATAATTAAATGATCTATTATGTACTTATAATATCTCTTATTTTAGTGCATTTAATATTATTTATCACGGTTTAGTGGTTTTATACCCCATGCTAGAGGGCTAGTTGGATTCTAATTCACATTAATTGGGTTGTACCACTATTACTTTAGGTGGTAATATACTAAATATTTTTTTGTTCCTTTTAGAAGGTTGTGTTCATGGTTTGAGCTGGCTATATTTAATTACCATTTATTCATGCCTTTCATGTACAGTTTAGTAGTTTTTTGTAGCACAGCACTATTTATTTTTAATATTTTAGCATTTTAGAAATGTATCAATATACCAAACAGAGAAAAGGGTTGAAGTGTTTGGGCTACAGAAGACCTTTGCTTATGTTACACACACCTTTAGGAAGATGCCCACATTCTTCACTTTCTTCTTAACACTGGTAAGAACAGTTGCTGGTCCCTCCTAAAAAAAAAAAAAAAAAAAAAAAAAAAAAAAAAAAGAGAAAACTGTCTCAGTCTACAAAAGTTATACACACACACACATACCCACACATCTCAGATTGAACAACAGCTCTGCTAAAGAAATCTTCCATATAAAATTTCATTTCCACACAAATATCTGACAGCTGATTAAATACATTTCATTGAAGATTACATTTACTGTACCTCATTCACAAGCACTGTGTCCCCAACAAACAAGGCATACGTCTTCTCCTCTTGCTTCTTCCCTTCTTTCTTGGCAAGATCAGAAAGTCCCAGGTGAATGCTGAACACCATACCTACATATAAAGAACAGATTGCCACAAACATGTGGAAGTCAATGTACTGCCAACAAGCTTAAAATCACCAATAAAGTGTACAAAAACTTAGACATTTAGTCAGCACAAAAAGTAAAAAAAAAAAAATAAAATAAAAAAAAAAAAAAATATATATATATATAGAATAATAAGTAATAAATTATATATATAAAAATATAAAATTTTTATTATAGAAAAATGGGGAGATCGGGAAAAGGTCATTCAATACACAGGGTGTATGTGCATGATACAAAAGGGGATGTACCATTTGGTTTTAATTTCAACCTTAATATGGAATGTTTCAATTAAAAAAAAACAAAACCTGTATTGTGTATAGTTCTTTAGCTGCAGACATATGTATCCAATTTTATTACAAACATAATAGAATTATGGTACATATCCTGTTTACCTCTACAACATTTGTGAGTTCTCATCTGCTTATCCACCCACAATGTATCAAAACCTTGATTATGGCAGATTTATATATTTGTATAAATATCAGACTTGATAAAATTATGGTACATATTCGGGTGATTAAATAGCCCCACAAGAGAGCTCTATCGGTCCAAAAAAAATGATAAAACTTTTCTTTGAAATGACAATTGCGCGATCATGCAACACTGTACCCAAAGTGCAACAGTGCTGATATCTGGAAACTGGCCTGTAATGGGGTGAAAGCGCCCAGTAGGCAACTGGTTTAAAGCAGAAAAAATGGACATCGCAGACTGTTGTGTATGGAGCTGCATAACACGTTAACAGTCGACATCACCTACAGAGAGAGAGAGTGTGTGTGTGAGTGTGTGTGTCAGAACTGCACCACAGAGCAATGTAAGAAGGTAGCCTGGTCTGATGAATCATGTGGTTTTTTTTTTTTTACATCATGTAGATGGCCACGTGAATCTCTTAACGGAGGATGAAATGGCACCAGGAAGCAGTATGAAAAGGAGGCAGTGTGAAGCTTTGGACAATGTTCTGCTGGGAAACTTTGGTCCTGCCATTCATGTAGGATGTGACATGTACCACCTACTTATGCATTGCTGCATACCACGTACACCCTTCATTGAAAAAAAAAAAAAAAAAAAAAGGGGTTTTCTGATGGCAGTGCTCTCAGAAGGATAATGCATTCTGCCACACTGCAAAAATGGTTCAACAATGGTTTGAGGAACAGAACAACAAGTTTGAAGCGTGCAGTGCACCCTTACATGGACCATTGGGGATGGCAACAATAGAAATTTTGGACTCATGAAATTGGACAATTGCCTGATGGTATAGTACCCAAAACAGATACTTGAGACTCAATCTCCTGCCTAATAAGAGAGCATGATGCCGGAGGACACAGAATCAGCCCAATGACCAAGACTAGTAGAAATACGTTCGCCACCCAGAAGGGAATGTCTCCGCATGAACAGCACAAAACCATAGGGAAAGAAGAAAGCTGGATAGTATGAACAACCAAGAGGCTGAATAATAAATTACCTTGGAGAAGAGATAAACCCAACAACTACACATGGTAATCAAAGAAAGGGACAAAGCCCCTGCAAAAAGAGGTACCAGACAAGGGACCTGGGAAAAAAATCCTTATAAAAAGGCAAAACCAGTCAGCCTCATAAAAAGGTCCTAAGCCTCCACACATGACCACCGAAAGGTCAAGAAATGAGCTCTGCAACTCAAGATATTGTCAAAACAGAAAATCATTCCATGAAAGTATCCCTGAAATTGACTAGAACTGTTGAGGGTGCGAAGATGAACCGAAGATACGATTTCAAAAAGTCAGAATGAATGAAGGGGTAAGGCGCATGGCAGACACCCCTAAAAAAAAGGTAGGTAGAAGAGGATGTTAGAAGCCAACCACACTGGTGAGATGGGTTACAACCCTGACAGATGAAAAAGAGATGGGCACATTCACCTGTACTGAAGAGGCATCCCTGGAGCGAATCCTAATAGGAAGCCTGCTGAAAATATATACACTATATTGCCAAAAGTATTGGGACACCCCTCCAAATCATTGGATTCAGGTATTCCAATCACCACCATGGCCACAGGTGTATAAAGTCAAGCACCTAGGCATGCAGACTGCTTCTACAAACATTTGTGAAAGAATGGGTCGTGCTCAGGAGCTTAATGAATTCAAGTGTGGTACCGTGATAGGTTGCCACCTGTGCAATAAGTCCATCCATGACATTTCCTTGTTACTAAATATTCCATGGTCAACTGTTAGTGGTACTATAAGAAGCAACTGCAAACAACAGCAACTCAGTCATGAAGTGGTAGGCCACGTAAAATGACAGAGCGGGATAAGTGCATGCACAACAGTGTGCAGAGAGCTTCACGGAATGGGTTGACATGGTGGAGCACCTGCATCAAAGCCTTACATCACCAAGTGCAATGCAAAGCGTCGGATACGGTGGTGTAAAGCACACCGCTACGGAACTCTACAGCAGAGGAGACGTTCTCTGGAGTGACCAACCACACTTCTGTCTGGCAATCCAATGGACATGTCTGGGTTTGTCCGCTACTTGCCTGACTGCATTGTGCCAAATGTAAAGTTTGGTGGAGGAGGGATTATGGTGTGGGGTTGTTTTTCAAAAGGTAAGACTTGGCCCCTTAGTTCCAGTGAAGGGAACCCTTAATGTGTCAGCATACCAAGACATTTTGGACAATTTCATGCTCCTAACTTTGTGGGAAGTTTGGGGATGACCCCTTCCTGTTCCAACATGACTGCACACCAGTGCACAAAGCAAGGCAAGATGAGCGAGTTTGGGGTGGAGGAACTTGACTGGCCTCCTGCACAGAATCCTGACCTCAACCCAATAGAACACCTTTGGGATGAATCAGAGCAGAGACTGAGAGCCAGGCCTTCTCATCCGACATCAGTGCCTGACCTCACAAATGCGCTCCTGGAAGAATGGTCAAACATTCCCACAGACACACTCCTAAACCTTGTGGACAGCCTTCCCAGAAGAGTTGAAGCCGTTATAGCTGTAAAGGGTGGGCCAACTCAATATTGAACCCTACAAAGACTGTGATGCCATTAAAGTTCATGTGTGTGGAATGGCAGGTGTCCCAATACTTTTGGCAATATAGTGTATCTTTGAGTCACTTGTGCTGAGACCTTAGAGAGGCTTCTTACACAAAAGCAGGTGTTCAACTCTCTTCAGCCACTTGATTCTGCATTTCACCCTGTGACTTGCTACAAAGTTAGTCATAGGCCGATGACACATGGACAACTCTACTGATAACAGTCCTATCACTGATAATTTGACAAAAGCAACAAGGTCACTACGAGGCTGCCAGTTTTGACCCTGTGGTATTGCTCCCTCAGTAGCTGAAGTAGCAAGATGGCACTAGTGATCAAGATTCAGCAGCATTCAGGTCAGCGACATCTTGCTACATGTTGCTACAGGAGGAAGAGATTCCATTGGAACACCCAGGCAGGCAGCCCTTTCAGCAATCCTACTACTAGTGATTTTTCTCACTAGTGGCAGAATTTTCTCACTAGTGAGAATATGGGATGAATGACTGTCCTTTTTTTGCATGCTAATTTCATATAAATACAACTTTGAGTGACATTCCTAGTTTTCTTTTTGCACAAATACTATACGAATTACAAGAAAATCAATTGTTCTGTTATCTTATAAGAAACATTTTCATTCTTGTCCCTTCAGATATTTTTACATGAACCACCGTGATCGGCTCCCGGAAGTTGTGTACTAATAACCAAATTATCAGATGATCTCTCTGAAACAGTTTGTTCTGTCTGATTTTTTCATCATGTGTACTAGGCATTACATAACAGCAGCAGTAAATAGCTGGTCAGGCAACAGACCTGTAACATGGTAGCAAAGGGGAAAGAGTAATCTTTGCTGAGTAAGCTCCAATTAGAGGCAAGTGCTGTTATTGGGGATGATATTAAATTGAATTTGATGCTTTTTGCAGCATGGAGAAAGCACAGATTCAGTTAAAATTACATTTTAAAAGGTTAATATTTCTTCAAACAAAATCAGGTAGAAGAACTACAGAGAATTTACATAAACTGACGCACTTTTGCAATGTCTGTAAGGACAAAGCAGCCAGAAATATTGTTGTACATTGCAGAAAAGTACATTATGGCCAGCCTTTTAGTCATAGAATGCATTAAAAACTGATGTAACTGTATATGACTTTCTATCCCACAGAAGAATTTCTTTTGATGTTATGCATTTTGGAAGCCTCAGTAAGTTGGCTACACTCAGTCACTACCAGCTCAGAAATAGGTTCCTGGCTGCTGTGTCGGTATTAGCATGGCAACTCATCACTGGCAACACAAGATAAGTGCCTAACGGCTATATAAACATTTTACATACAAAAAGAAAAGCACATAGAAATACAAGTGTACATTTTCTGTTAATAAACGTAATACAAATGTATCTTAATTAGTCTTGCATTGAAACCTATATATGGTTTCTAGGAATGAAAACTTCTAATAAAAAGGTGAAAACAGATCAAGTAGACTGACCTACAATGTATCCATTATTTCCACTAGAATTCTCATTTTATGTTACAAACTGACTTGACCGCATGCCAACACAGATGATTTTGTGCTTTGTGTTTGTTAGAGACCCACCTTTCTTTAATTTGTATTGATTTTTACTGTTGATCACAAGAGAACCTTCCCGAAACTCTATTCCCATGGCAAAGCTGTACAAAGACAAAAGAAAAAGCTGTCAAAACTTAAATCAAAAAGGTCTATTTACAACCCCAATTCCAAAAAGGTTTGGGATGCGGCCTAAAATCTACAAAAAAACAGAATGCAAAGATTTGCAAATCTCATAAACCCATTAATTCAATGTAGAAAATAGAAAACATAAAACATATCAAATGTTTAAACTGAGAAAAGGTACAATTTCAGAACAAAAATAAGGTACTTTTGAAATTGATGGCAGCAACACATCTCAAAAAAGTTAGGATAAAGCAACAAAGTTTGGCCAAGTGGTACTAACAAATAAGAAACAGAAGAACACTGCAACTAATTAGATTAACTGGAAACAAGCCAGTCTCATGACTGAGTATAAAAAGAGTATCTCAGAGTCTGAGTATCTCAGAAGTAAAGAAGAGCAGAGGTTCACCAATCTGTGAAAAAAAGTTTAAAAATTGTCAAAAAATTTCAGAATATTGTTCCTCAATGTAAAGTTGCAAACACTTTAAATATATAATTTACTGTACATAATATTCAGAGAATCTGAAGAAAACTAGGCACAAAGGCCAAAACACAATTTTGGGTGCCCGTGATTTTCAGGCCCTCAGATGCCACTGCATTAAAAACAGGCATGGTACTGTGATGGATATCACAGCATGGGCTCAGGAATGCTTCCACAAATCAATGAACACCTTTGCCGTGTCATCCAAAAATGCAAGGTAAAGCTCTACCGTGCAAACTGCAAAGAAGACATATTTGAACATGATCCAGAAAGGCCATCATCTTCTCTGGGCCAAAGCTCATTTAAAATGGGCTGCTGCAAAAGAAAAACTTTTCTGTGGTCAAACTAACGTATTTTTCGCTTCATAAGATGCACTTTTTTCCCCAAAAAAAATGGGGGAAAATGTCTGTCTTATGGAGAGAATATGGAGCGGCCGACCCGGTATTCCCTCCACCGTGTTAGAATACCGGGCTGGCCCCTCAGCTCTACTGTGCAGAAGAACCTGCTCCTCAGTCCTACCTGTTCCTCGGTCCAGCAGTGTCCTGCTTTTATCGGCCATCTTCTCTCCCCGGCATCTTCAGTGTGAGCATCCAGCTGTGACAGCTTGCGGCTTCACAGCCGGGTGGGTGCCCACTGTGCATGCACAAGAAGCGCTGCACTTTGTGAATGGCCACCTGTAGTCTTTTAGGACCTGTCACATGCCCCACAAGACAACGGGGAGGACAACTCCACAGAAGTGAGAGCAGGTACCTGTCAAATTCAGGTACCCGCCCCCTCAAAGGTTCGCAGTCTCTGGTTAGTTCCTGCACTATGTCCGCAGTCCATTGGTTCAGGAGTATTTTTTCTTATTTTCCTCCTCTAAAATCTAGGTGCGTCTTATTGTCAAATGCGTCTATGGAGCACAAAATACGGTAATCGAAATTTGACATTTTTGGCAAGCATGGGTGCTGCATCCTCTGATCTAAAAAGGAGAGAGGCCTTCTGGCTTGTAATCAGTTCAAAAGCCTGCATCTCTGATAGTATGGAGGTGCATTAGTGCGTATGGAATGGGCAGCTCGCAAATCTGGAAAGGCACCATCAATGCTGAAATATACACTGCTCAAAAAAATTAAAAAACACTTTTTAATCAGAGTATAGCATCAAGGCAATTAATCTCCAGGGATATCGATCAGTTAAGGCAACAATGAGATGACCCCCAAAAACAGGAATGGTTTTTCAGGTAGAGGTCACTGACTTTTTCCCTACTAATCTTTTCTGACTGTTTTTCACTAGTTTTGCATTTGGCTAGAGTCAGTGTCACTACTGGTAGCATGAGGTGATACCTGGACCCTACAGAAGTTGCACAGGCAATCCAACTCCTCCAGGATGGCACATCAATACGTGCCATTGCCAGAAGGTTTGCTGCATCTCCCAGCAGTGTCTCAAGAGCATGGAGAAGATTCCAGGAGACAGACAGTTACTTTAGGAGAGCTGGACAGGGTTGTAGAAGGTCCTTAACCCATCAGCGGGACGTATCTGCGGTATCTGCTCCTCTGTGCAAGGAGGAACAGGATGAGCACTGCCAGAACCCTAAAAAATGACCCCCAACAGGCCACTGGTGTGAATGTCTCTGACCAAACAATCAGGGAGGGGAGGGTGGTGTGTGAGGTTTTTTCTTGTTTTAGTGTAAAAATGTTTGATATGGAAAAATATTGTTGTATAATGTGAAATAACGTGTTAATAAAAATAATAATAAATAATATATATAAATAAAAATATATATATATATATATATATATAAAAATAATGGGACAACAGTCTTCTCCCCAATCCCCAGCAACAAGTCTCCTCAGTTTCTCAGATTTTTACAGTGTTAAAAGAAGGGATGCTACATCATGGTAAATGTGGTCCTGTCCCAACTATGAGACATGTTGCTGCCCTCAATTTCAAAGTTACCTTTTTCTTAAAATGGTACATTTTCTCAGCTTAAACATTGGGTAGGTTCTCTATTTTCTATTGTGAATAAAATATGGGTTTATGAGATTTGCAAATCAATGCATTCAAGCTTTTATTTTACATTTTTCACAATTTTGCAACTTTTTTTGGAATAGGCCCACTAATAGCACCACCAAGAGGTCTGCCTAAAAGAAGACAGAAAGAAGAAGCTGAAAAGCACCTCCAAATTAACACCAAAAAACTATGCAAAAAGGTAAAATCTTTATTTTGCAGTCAAAATAAATAGGGACAGATGGGATCGGATTGCTAGACCAAGAACAAAACATCTTAAAATACCGTATTTTCCGGCGTATAAGGCGACTTTTTGACCCTTGAAAATCTTCTCAAAAGTCGGGGGTCGTCTTATACGCCAGGGCGGCACTTTTTAGGGGGGCGGCGCGGTGCCGCCACCGCCGTCCCCCCCTTCCGACGGAAGGGACACTAAGTACAGGGGTGGGCAGAGGGCTGCTGTCTCTTACCTGGCTCCCACGACGATCCAGTCCAGGAAGCACTGCTCCTTCAGTCACTACGGCCACTCCCTCACTCCTGCCGCTCGACTCCGCCTCCTCACCGATGATTGGCCGCCAGAACTGTAGCTCAGGAAAGGCACACAGGCGGCCAATCACGGGCGAGGAGGTGGAGCCGAGCGGACCCACGAAAATTGAGTGAGGGAGCCGGTAAGTGTGCAGTGCAGAGGTGCTGCTGCAACCACACATGCTGACTGCAGCAGCACCATACTGGAACAGGGGTCAGCAAGTGTCATTGGTGTCAGTGGGAGGAATAGTGCCCCATCATTCCTCCCACTGACACCAACGATGGGGCACTATTCCTCTCCCCACTGACGGGGTACTATTCCTCCCACTGACACCAATGTTGGGGCGCTATTCCTCCCACTGACACCAATGTTGGGGCGCTATTCTCCCACTGACACCAATGTTGGGGCGCTATTTCTCCCACTGACACCAATGTTGGGGCGCTATTTCTCCCACTGACACCAATGTTGGGGCGCTATTTCTCCCACTGACACCAATGTTGGGGCGCTATTCCTCCCACTGACACCAATGATGGGGCGCTATTCCTCCCACTGACACCAATGATGGGGCGCTATTCCTCCCACTGACACCAATGATGGGGCGCTATTCCTCCCACTGACACCAATGATGGGGCGCTATTCCTCCCACTGACACCAATGATGGGGCGCTATTTCCTCCCACTGACACCAATGATGGGGCGCGATTCTTCCCACTGACACCAATGATGGGGCGCTATTCCTCCCACTGACACCAATGTTGGGGCGCTATTTCTCCCACTGACACCAATGATGGGGCGCTATTCCTCCCACTGACACCAATGATGGGGCGCTATTCCTCCCACTGACACCAATGATGGGGCGCTATTCCTCCCACTGACACCAATGATGGGGCGCTATTCCTCCCACTGACACCAATGATGGGGCACGATTCTTCCCACTGACACCAATGATGGGGCGCTATTCCTCCCACTGACACCAATGATGGGACACTATTCCTCACACACTGACACTAATGATGGGCCACCATCATTGGTGTCAATGGGAGGAATAGTGTCTCATCATTGGTGTCAGTGGGAGGAATCGTGCCCCATCATTTGTGTCACAGCGAGGAATCGTGCCCCATCATTGGAATACCATACCATATTGAAATCAAATCTGATGTTTTTTCATTTTTATTTGGTGTGCATTGGAAGAGGGGTAGTCTTATACGGCGAGTATAGCCCAAACCCTATATTTTAACAGGAAAAGTAGGGGGTCGTCTTATACGCCCAGTCGTCTTATACGCCGGAAAATACGGTAGATGCACTGTCAACCAAGGAATTGCATGCTACTTTTTTTGCCCTATTTCCTTCACAACTGTAACCTAGAATTTTGAGTCCAATTTGAATCTGTCACATATGTAGCAATCAATAAAAAATCCCTACATTTAGGAGTGTCAACCTTCAAGAATGAAAGGAGGCATCTCCACACATGTAACAAAACAAACTGAGAACTAGGATTCTGATGGAGAGAAGAAAAAAAAAAGAAAAATTTCCTTATCAACAGAAGTAAAACAAATTGATCCAAGGTAGAGTATTTTTCTTTTCTAAAGATTTTTAGCATCTACTTGTTTCCATTCAGAAATGCTGACTTTTACCTTTGGGTCCAATTGTGCAGGTGCTTGAAGCTGGTCCTGCATGTTTAAAATGTTTACATGTGCTGGTCATTCTATTTGAAACTCGCGTTATTTCACCTACAGCTACAGGTGCTAAACTTTCCAAAACCATTAACCTCTCAGTAATTGGAAGAGCAATTACTGATCTATTCTGACCACAAGTTCAGGATTACTGGATGTTTGCGGCAGTCTGACAGAATGGCATTTGTAGTTAAAGCATGTTGTCTTAAACCTTTGAAACTCCTGAAATTCTGAATACCACTTTTCACAAGAGCAAAAAGCAGGAAGCATCCTCAAGTTCAAAAGAAGGAAGTAGAAAAGACCAGATTAAAGCACTTGCCCTCCTAAGGATTTACCCTCCTTCCTGACTCACCAGTCTTTTTTGCGATTCGGCACTGCACTATTTCAACTGGTAATTGTGCGGTCATGCAATGCTGTAACCCAAACTAAATTTATTTCCTTTTTTCCCCCACAAATAGCACTTTCATTCGGTGCTATTTGATCACCTGTACACTTTTTATTCTTCGCGCTATAAAACAAAAAAAAGGATCGAAAATTTTGAAGGGAAAAAAAAAACAAAAAACTATATTTTCTCATTTGTCATAAAAAAATCAAATGTCCTCATAAATTTAGGCCAAAATGTATACGGCTACATGTTTTTGGTATAAAAAAAATCCCAATAAGTGTATACTGATTGCTTTGTGTGAAAGTTATAGCGTCTACAAACTATGGTATAGATAATGGAATTTACACAGCTTTTACTTTCTGACTGCCCATCTCATTTCTTGAGATGCTAAAATACCAGGACAGTACAAACACCCCAAAATGACACCCTAAGCTATCTACTGAGAGGCATATTGAGTCCATGAAAGATTTATTTTTTTTTTTTTCCACAAGTTTTAGGAAAATTAAAAAAAAAAATGTTTTTGTCAACACAAAGTTGTCACTTAAATTATATATTGCTCACACAAGCCATGGGTATAGGTAGATGTAGCACAATGTATTTTGGTGTGTAATTTCACAGAGTATGGGGATACCACGTGAGACATTTTGGGAGTAGCAGCAATCAAAGTTATTTTGATTTTTTAAATTTTTACAGTGTCCCCTTTCATTTTTTTTTTTTTTTTTTTTTATTACTTTTAATGCTATCACAGGGAATGGAAATATCCCCTACAACTTCAAAGGGCATTGCCAAATATTCTTTTTTGAGAAATCTGGGGTCTGTCAGACTCTAGATATCTCCTCTGCCCTTACATTATCTAATCTCACCAAGATTGGTGTGATCAGATGTTTTCCCAATTTACAAATGGCGCTGTTTATATCCTGCAAAACTGAAGAGATGAAATCCTCATAGCTCCGATTTTTTTAGACTATAGAGATGATTGGCACCATTCCGATCTCCAATCAGCTCTATGGTCAGCTGGCAGAAACACTGGCTGCATGCTCAGGTTCCCCAGATGGCACGGGACTGCCCGAGAAGGCCGTGGAAGGAGGGCATCTTCTCCCGCTGCTTGTAAAAGCAATCCTACAGCTATTTAGCCACTTTTTCCAAGCTGATCGCTGGCTGGAAAAAAACGATACCAAATAATGCCTGCAGCTGCATCATCCTGGTATAACCACTCAAAGTCCAGTGATGAACCAGTAAGCTGCTGGTCCTTGTTGGATGCTATGTTTTTTTTCTATGCAGCCTTTGGGCTGAAGGAAAAAAAAAAAAAAAAAAAAAAGAAATCACTGCCAGAAAAAAAAAAAAGTGTGTGGTATGCCCACCATTAGAATATACCACCCCGCATCCACCCACTTCTAACGGTGGACGATCCTTTCCCTTGTCATTGAAATGTATAAAAACACATACTCTCATATCTATGCCGGGCCATGGCAGCAGAGAACACGGGCATATGATGAATCGGGTCTGTGGACCAATACAACCGCAATTCATTTTTTTTAGTAATGCCCATGTTGAGGGTTAGGGCCAAAAGAAAAAAAAAAAAAAATTCGAAAACTAATTGCTTTCCATGCAAATGGTCTGGCAAGGTTTGAATTTGGGTTGGCGACGATAAACTGTTGTGTATATAAATTGCTTTGATCCACAATCAATGCATACAGATCATTGAAAAACAGCTCCAAAAAAAAAAATAAAATAAAAAAAAGGGGAGTATTTAAAATTTGCTGTTTCCACCTGAATTCCGGGTTGGGCAGTGACTGGGGGAGTATGGATGCTGCAGAAATGTGGGCTACCAAATCTGGATTTGCAAGCACATCCAGAAGGATATTAGGGGCTCTAAGGGCCTGTGTGCAAATTCTTGGAGCCTGTGGGACACTACTTGTGCTCGCCACCACACCAGCTTGTACTGCACTTATGGGACTCGCCACGTCACCAAGTGATATTGCAGAGCTGGTATGTGAAATAACAGGATGTACTAGGCCGCTGGTGCTCGCCAGTTAACCAAAAAGGTAGAGCGGCACTAGTACTGGCAGTCTGCTGTATATGAGACTCATCACGCGATTGTAACATCTCAGCAACCTGGGAACGGGGGGTCGGGTACGCCTGCTCTTAGCAGGGACCTCTTCTCCATCGTCTGAGCCATCTGTCAGGGTGCCGCTGCTGTCTACAGGTTTGTATTCTGAGGCTGATTGTGTCAGGGAGTCTTCCCCTTTGCTCTCATCTGACATGCTCAGAATCCTGTAGGCCTCTTCACTAGAGTACCTTTCCAATGACATTTTGGCCACTAAATTTATACATACCTAGTGTGACTCATGGGAAAAAGAGCACCTGGATATAAGAGACTGCTTGAACCGCTACAAAAAAAATGTACTGGCAAGTGCTAACCGAGATCGGGCCTGATTCTGCGAACAATGCGGTTGTGTGTGTAATGTATCAAGTAACAGTGACCTACTGATACGGCACTTGCTGGGGGAGAAAGGAAGGGGGGGGTAAGCATAGGGGCTAAACACAGGTGCCGGGGCTGATCCCAATAACGCTGCGTTTTTGGGACACTATCCTAATGTGAACGCTCGTATAGTGTTGATCTAATCAAAGATATTTACTGACTTGATGTCACTGACATCCCCAGTGACACCAATACAATGATCAATGCTAAAAAAAAAAAACAAAAGACACTGTACTATTGGCACTGGGCAGGAAGGGGTTAACATGAGGGTGATCAAAGGGTTAACTGTGTGCTGGGTGCTATGCACAGCCATGCAGAGCAGTGGGCCTAAGCCGACAGGGAGGATGACTGTTCGTAAACAAAGCAACCCTCCTCCCGTCGGTGATTGTCGGAAATCACCGGGCGCCAGCGGGTAATCACCAGCCGGGACCCCGTGATTGACAGCCACAAATGGAGGCGCAGGTAGGGCGTGCATGCCCCTTACCCGGAAATGCAAAATCACATATATACACATGATTTTGAACACCCTGTAGCAGTATTTCTGCTATAGGGCGGACGGGAAGCGGCTAAGATACCATGAAAGAAAAGGAGTTGTAGACTGATCCATGTTTCTGTTCCTTTAACCCACCAACATAGATAAGGGTTCTACGCACACTCCGGGAGGCAGCAGCCACCAGATTGCTGCTACACACCCTGCTAATAGATCCTCCCATGCATGTACGAATGTAAATGCATGAGTCAGAGGCACCTAAACCCAAAAACATTAATTGTACTACAAGGTACATATCACTATGCATGCCTGAGTAAGAGCAATAATTTTAGAGCTATTATTTAGTTAAACCTAAACTGATGACCTGTAAGGACTTTGAAAGCGCTGCCTATTGGAAAATATAGGCTACCAAAGTTTGAGAACTTTTACCAATGCACCCAGTTTTAAGGCTCGACATGTTAGGTATACATTTGGAGCAACCACATCCTTTATATTTTACCAAGACATTGGGTAATATATTGGGTTTATGTGCCTGAAAATTCACTTTAGTGTACATTTTTACTTAAATTTTATTTCATGAACTGTTGTGCGAATATCGTGTGACAAAATTTGGAACGACCACCATGTAACTCTATAGGGTGACAGCTTTCAGAAAAATGTTTTGGGGGTTTTATGCAACATTCAGGACTAAAATGATATTTTAACAGGTGTGCAAAAAATGGTTCTGGTAGTGAAAGGGTTAAAGGGCAGGCCCCTTGGTATTAACATGGAGGTACAATGACAACATTACAAAAATAAGATCTGCAGCACTGTTATAGCACATACCCCAGGTTTTTGGTGATCTTGCTCATCAGCTCTGGTTTCTGCTTCTTAACCTGATCCATAACTGCCTGATAGACTTCGCAGATTTTTGCACCTGTAGTTGGGGGGAGGAAACAAAAAAAAAAAATCAAACTGTGCAAAGCAAAACTAAAATTACTAAAGGAAATAGGATTTTTGCGCTCATCGGAAAATCCTGCTCTTATAGTTACATTGTCAGCTAAATGAGAATTGGACACTGGCAAACAAAACTGTAGGTCAGCCCAGTAAAACACCAATGACAGCAATTATAGAGATCCATTCTCACATCTTGAACCATATCCCAGAAAGGATGAAAATATCCTTTCAACTAACTGGAGCTAGAGAGAGAGATGGAAGAACAATGTCCTCATGGTTAAGGGGAAAGGTCAAAAGCTACCTTACGTAGGAAGCAAGTTCTAGGCCATAACACCACTTTTGCAAGACCAGAAGGAGCTCTTTACAGAAGAAGGCCACCAGCTAGTCGCAGTAGTTATAGCTATAAGCAATATCACCTTGTGGAAAGGAGAATGTGTCTGATGGGTTCAAATAAACGTTATTGAAGCTCCAAGAAAACCAGATACGAATGCCATGGAGTCAAAGGGCAATAAGCATGGGGAGCCACATGGGAGAAAGATTGCACAAAGGTCCTAATCAAAAAGTGAAAAGCCAACTGTCCTGAAGCAACAGAGCCAGAGCACAGACCTGACCCTTAATGGTGCAGAGAGCCAAATGCTGGTCTTGACCCAGCTGTAAAAAAGTAAGAATGTGGAAATGATATAGCGAGCGCTACAAACAGAAATATATAAGCAGCTAGAACACCAAAAAAAGGCAACCAACCAGCCTTACAATGATCAAAATAAAGGAGAAAAATAGGTGCAGCGCTAAAATCAGAATACAGTAAAAAATCTCTATAAGATGTATATGCATCCAAATGCCAGTGATCAAAAAAATTTGTGATACAATGGTAAACCGTGCGCTATTCGTGAGAAATGTTAAAGCACACGTAAAGTCCTCATCCCAGGTCAGTGGTGATAAGAAAGGTGAAAAATCCTAGGAACAGATAGAGTGCGCACTCACCAGAGGTGCGTTTAAATAACGCATGTAGAGAAGTGTAATCTGCATAAACGCTCCAGCATCAAGGCTCTGGTCAGACCGCACTCTGTACTATCCTCTGTTTCACCGCGAAGCACAGTAACCAGGATTCATCAAACCATGTAGGCATCAGAGATACTCCTTAGTCCAGATAGGCACTCGTGCACTCCCCGGCTCTGCCGCTCCCCTCTCCTTCCCTGTCAGGCGGGATTTTTCACCTTTCTTATCACCACTGACCTGGGATGAGGACTTTACGTGTGCTTTAACATTTCTCACGAATAGCGCACTGTTTACCATTGTATCACAAATTTTATTTGATCACTGGCATTTGGATGCATATACATCTTATAGAGATTTTTACTGTATTCTGATTTTAGCACTGCACCTATTTTTTCCCTTTATTTTGTAAAAAAGTAGTAAGGATTTGTCCCGTGAAGTATTTACTAGGTTGGAAGTCCTGAGCCTCACATACGATGATTAACCTTGCAAGAAGTAGACCACCTAGCTTTAAGCACTAAAGGGAATAAAAGATTTAAATATGCCTAAAAGCCTGCAACTGTGAAGTAGGAGAATAATTTGTTCCTTTAGAGAGATGATCTGGACTATCTTTAATCACTTCAGTTCTGGGCACTTTTACCCCCTTTCCTGCCCTGGCCAATTTTCAGCACTTTTGCACTTTGAGTGACAATTGTGCAGTCATGTAACACTGCACCCAAATGACATTTTTATCTATTTTTTTTTTTTTGTCAGACAGATAAGAGCTTTCTTTTGGTAGTATTTAATCACCATGATGTTCCCACCTACAAACTTCACTGTTGGTATGGTGTTTTTGGAGCGATGTGCAGTGCCATTTGACCCCCAAACATGGTGTGTATTATGGCATCCAAAGAGTTCAATTGTGGTCTCATCTGAGCAGACTATATTCTCCCAATAATTTCACAGCTTGTCTAAATGTTGTGCAGCAAACTTTGAACAAGCTTCAACATGCTTTTTCTTCAGCAATGGAATCTTGCATGGTGAGCATGCATACCAGCCAGGGTGGTTGAGTGCATTACTTGTTTTGTTTGAAACAATTGTACCTAATGCCAGGTCTTTCTGAAGCTCTCCACAATTGGTCCTCTTGGACAACTCTTCCGATTATTATCACTCCTCTGTCAGAAATCTTGCGAGGATCACCTGGTCGTGGCCCGTTTATGCAATGACAAGGGCAGGATTGCTTTGTAATTACTGATAGATTCAGCTTGTGTCTTGGCTTTCCATGCCTTTTTGCACCTCCCTTTCTTCACGTGTTCAATACTTTTTCCCTGTGCATTCCATTTTATTACACACCAATTAACGTCTAAACTTACTGGTTTATATTATACACACTCACAAATTAGCAGAGTTGCACTTTTACTGAAAGTGATTTGAACAATAAACTCATGCATGACTGTAGTGAAGACTTCCTTGGAAAGAACCAAGGTGGCAGCCACACCCGATGGCGTTAGGGAAGACACCAAAGATGAGAAATGCTAGGATCAGATGCATGATTCCAGGTTGCAGATGCAGGCTACGTCAGTGGGCACACTGCAAGAAGCACAGATGCCGTTAAGGTGTGGGCTGGGGGAACCACAGAGTTAAGCACGACTGTCCCCCACCATTTCAAGAACCAGACATGTTTCAACCACATGAAAGTAAGGCAACATAAGTTTAGTGTAGGAGGCAAGACCTCAGGTACTCACATAACTCAACAACGGGGTAGAAAGTGAGGGTTGAATGCTAGAAAGGCCACAGTCTTAACAGGCAAGCAGCAGATAACTGGAGTTTAAATTGGCTCTTTTCAGTGAAGGAGAAGTAGTGGGGAGATGCCTTCTTGGATTGGACTGAATGGAGAGTGTGTGCAACACAACACTCTACCCAGCGGATGATGTCTGCACTCCGTCCATCAGCATTACCACCTTCCATCATTTAACCAGTAGAAAATGGAAATTTCAAAAGCACCCAGCAAGTCAAACAAAGAGGCACCTCCTGTGCTCTGCCTGGTCAGCCTACTAAGAGTGAGTAGCCAGAGAAAAAAATAAGCACTGAAGCAATGTCAACAGCTCTGGACCTAGAAAGCTCAAACTTGAACGAGGTCTGGAAAGCATCTCACACAGAACCCAGAGCTCAAGGGAATCACTCCCAGACAAGTTCAGTGGTGTCCAGTGGAAAAAAAAAAAAAAAAAAAAAAAAAAAAAAAAAAAAACTTTAAAAGCCAAGCTTAGGACGGACCACATAGGATAGCTGCAAAAAAAAAAAAAAAAAAAAAATAATGGTAGGAAAAAAAATAGATCAGACCTTTCCCAGCAAAGCTGAAGTATGCATACTGGTAGTAAAAGGAGTTATCCTGGTCCAGCCAACAGTTTTCTTGTTCTCCCATGTCCAATCCTCCTGCATTCCTCAAAAAATAAAAATGGAAAAAAAAAAAAAAAAAAAAAAACCACCACACTTAAATTTCCTGTACTACTTACCATGCTTGAGTTCCTTGCACAGCTCCTCCTGAAGTTGTAACAAGAAATTGTAGTTGTCCTGCATCTCCTGTGTGGGATCCACTACAAGTGTGCGCACTAGATTGGAACAGTAGGATTTGTAGCGAACACCCATGGCACATGTGATTGCTCCAAAGTGCATGTGATTTTTGTCACTAAAGAAAATAAAAGAATCATACAGATTCTTAAAGCTTTGCAGTACATTTTCATAAAAGCTTACTATATGTATTGTGTTTACATTCACACAGCATATCTAAAAAAATTTTTTAAAAAATGTCTTAATTCTGGCTGTTTGTTTGAAGGCCTTTGGGCAGTCTGCAAGTTATTCTAAACAATTTGAAATATAATGTAAAAAAAAGAGGCAAAGTAGCAGCAGTCATATACAATGCAGAACCCAAGCCTTGTGTTAGGCTTAGTTTACATGCTGCAGGCCATTCACTTAAACTGTCCAACAAATGGGACAGGGGTTAATACTGCATCTGAGCTGCCTGAACACAAAAGGAGGGGGTAACATTTTTTTGCAATGAGTGGCCACAACATTTGGTCACTAAGACAAAACAAAAATGACAATGTATAGTTTGTCAGTTTATGAACAAAGTAGCAGTGCTGGGTCTAAGGATGAACGATAGATAGATAGGATAGATAGATAGATAGATAGATAGATAGATAGCCCAACCACTAGCAGCTGGAGGAAAAGAAGGGGGTGCTCAGCAAGTAAAAAGAATATTTTTTGGTTTAGGTTGAGGGTAAGGTATCAATTGGAGGGTCATTTGTTAACAGCCTGGTTTGATACCGTTGGGTATATTAAAAACATTGCACTATCAATTCATGGACATCTGTAGGCAAGGTTTGAATGAAAGATGCAGATATCAAAGAGTTTTTGGGCCCATGATATAAACATAGAAATAGTGGCGGCTTCTGAGTAGATCCACTTGCAAACAGCAACTTTAAGTTATACTATACGAATGGGATGATCTAAACAAAAATAAAGTAGGTGATATTTCAAATTGGCTACAAAAGTGGAAATACATTTTAAAGTTAACCAGTGCTTTGCCCATACAGGGAAAAGCAATGGGGCTATTGTAATGCCTTCATCTCCAGCAGCATATACTTAATTTTCCTAAACTCTGACAATAACCTGCATAAGTTTCAAGTCTATTTTTATGAGCTTACACAGGGCTGAGGACACTCTGCCTGCCCCATACCCCAAGTATTCTATTTGTTCCTCATGACCAAATAAAGCAGAGAAAGACAGTTAACCATGTGCTGCTGCCCTGCATAGATGAGCAACAAGGTTTACTCTAAAACCATCTGGGAGGGAAAACAAATACACTATTGCAAAAAAAGTGTAGAGACCTACCTGACCACACTAAATTTGAGATTATAATTTCCACCGCTCTGGATTATAGGAGGGTAGCACATTTCAATAGTAGAAGGATCAGTACCACCCAAATACTTTTTATCTTCTATGGCTTTCTCCACACGGACTCTGCCAGCTTGCTGTGTCGTACTTTCTGTAATAAAAAGATGCACAAAAAACAGGATGAAACTCAAAACCATTTATACATTTAGATCATTTAATGTGGTCTCAGTTTTTTTAATACAAGATTTTTAGCTCAGACAGCAGTTTAACAACACCATATTTTCCAGAAAATATTTCTCAACGCACCACTGTTCTGTGCATGACCGACTTTTCTTAATGTGAGAAACATCTGCAATCAAGACCAATTAAAGAAAGTGTGAAAAGTAATAAACTTGGGTAGCAAGTGTAACAAACAGCACTTTAGTCTTACCAACACAATGTTTGCTATGCTGACTGAGAAAATTCACTGAAGCGCTTACATGTGATTATCTCTGTGTTGTATTCCTAAACCCAACACACTTGAAAAATCCTTAATGATAATTTCTGGTGTCTTAGAAGCTAAGAACACAAATTAATTTAAGCATAGGTCACTACTTGCACCCCTTCATATTTCACGCATTTTGAAGAGGCTTGGCTTTCTCTTATCATTTTTAATAATTTCTAACCTATGTAACAAAATTCCAATAAAGTGGTTGTCAATCATGAAAATTTCTGATTATGTATGAACCTATCTGTCCACCTATAATAATGAATGTCACTAGCTCAAGCAAAACAGAGCAGAAAGCAGTTTCTTAAAATTTACATTGCCGTGATTCTGTCAAAACAAAACTCATGTCTGAGTTGCAAAAAAAAAAAAAAAAAATCAATAGTGTGTAAAAAAAGAAATGAGTGCATTGTATGAAATATGCTGTTTAGAAGTGCAATAATCCAGCTTGAAACTTTGCTTCTGAGCTTCCTGTAAAAGAACAGTAAATGATGCTCTCTCCCCTTGTGCAAAGTGCCTAGTCTTGAATCTGCTGCTCTCTTCTAGTTACCCTGCTGGGTCCCTCTACAGCAGAGCAATGAGGTCACTGTTGCTTTCACAAGATAACTGGGTTTGCAAAGGTATTTTATACTTACAAGGCAGGTTTATATGCTTTGTAGATATTAAGGAATATTTCTAAATTCACATTTTGTGCCTGGAGGTCAGCTTTAAAGTATTCCTAGTGAGGTTTTAGACCAGGAAGAACTCCACAAAAGTAGTGTCGGGAGACCCCACCCCACTTCCTTCCAAATACAACAGGTGATCAGATATCTTTTTCCAACCTACCAGGAAACAGCGATATTCTAAGTAACTTATCTAACAATTGCTAGTGCTTTCTTTGTTGCTTGTAAAAGTGAAGGACTGGAATGCACTACACAAATACTGCCCCAATGAGTCAGAAAACATCTATGTGCAATGAGTGCAGCCTATGGATAGGGGATGCTTCCTATCAGAAAATGCTGAGGATCTGGGCTGTTAGACCGTTAACACAACATTCTACTGAAATAAGTCCAAGACGTGTTATGCTGCCATTTTAAATGCAAACTGTCCTATATGGATTTTCTTTACAAAATGTACAAAACTGACTAGAAACGGGTAACAGTGTATGGCCTAAAAAAAAAAAAAAAAAAAAATTACTAAAATATTAATCTCTATAGCTTTAGTGATCTAACTTACCTGTAAATAGAGTATGCCCCATTGTGCAGGCAGTTGGATCCCATAGAAATCCTCTGCAGGGATGACCATTGCTGCTCCTGCTAAGCTTCTGGCACTGCAATGGTTAAAAGCTCAGTTTTCTTTGAAGCTGCAGTGAACAGGCTCCTGACGAGGACATGCCACCTCCTCCATTGGCAAAAGCGGTTTCATAGAGTATAGTGCTTGCAACACGATCTTTGAATGGGTGAGAAAATCTTGTAGCTCACCAGAGTCTCCCCCATTCAGAGACCTTGTTTCATGCAGTGTACCCTATGAAACAACTTTTTCCAAAGAAATAGGAGGAAGGGGCGGGGTAACCGTCAGCAGCTTGTTTAACGCAATTTCACAGAAGACTTCGAGTTATTGAACCCCTTACTCTAATCTGTCGTAAGCCAATTATGCAAGTCAAAACTGCAGAAACAGAATTGTGGTCATGATAGACAGAATTGTAGACGGTAGTTAATAATCAAAATTCCTCACCTCATCAGCATCCACAATTTCCATGACCCGTTCTTTAAAGAACTTATTAAAGACATCAGAAGTAATTAAAGATGCCTTCTTCATTAGGTTTAATTCCCCATCTTCCTTCACAGCAATTGTGTAAGCCACAGCAGCACTAATATCCAGCTAAAAACGAAAAAATTAAACTAAAACATTTTAGGGGTTTAACACATGAAACAAATTGCAACATTTTACAAATGTCTAAGGCTACATTCACATGGATGTAAAATTTTATGATCCTTTTATATGTTTTTCTAGCAAAGAAGTTCCTACATCATGATCAGTAAATACTTTCATAAAAATTGTCCTTTTTTTTCTCCCCAGTACATGCATATGGCTTATATGGGGAGACGCACACTCCGCTTAGTGTGTCCCACGCCTCCAGGACTTCTCTGTCACCCATCCTCTGGAACTCCCTGCCCCAACCCAGATTATCACACTCTCCTCTCCTTTAGGCGGATCTTTCAGGGATGTTTACTTGGCATCCCCCTGTGTGCCACCACCCCCTCCCTCCTAATGTAAGCTCAGGGCCCTTGATCCCCTCATGTTTTGCATTGTATTGGTATTGTTCTGAAAACAATACAGCCATGTATAATAGTACGTGTCTGCCATTTGGAATGTTTACCTGTGTGAATGTACTTGAAAACAACAATTAGGCCTAAACTGACAACAAATAAAGATGTGATACAGAGGTCTATTTACAACAAAAAATTATGTATGAATGCGACAAACAAAAGGGGAGCCATATTTCACATATTCGTAAACAAAAAAATTTAACTAGACCCCAGAGAGTCAAAAATGATTACATAAAGAAGAATTTGGTACTAAAAAAAAAAAAAAAAAAAAAAAAAAAACTACCACTTAACTTTTAGCCCTAATCCACAGTTACCAACAAACATACATGCAACAGGCAATTGGGCAGACCACTCTTACCTTTTCATATCCCTCTTTATTCAGGCAGTCATACCAACTTTTCATGAAATCCCCTGGGAATTTGTCTTTGCTAAAAACACCAATGCGCTTTCCTTTCTTGCTGCCATTAATTGCCTCTATCATCTTATCAAAGCTAGCCTTGTTGCTTTCATTTTGCTGGAGAAAGGACAAGAAAATTCTCAGTACAGGAAAAACCGGTGGCACAACAAAACAAACTCTCAAAATGACAAAAAGTAAACAATTCTAAGAAAAATATTTGGTGTACAGAAAAAAAAAAAAAAAAAATACAAAACCCTGCATTTTAGAAATATTCTAATTATCCAAAACAGTATAATAAAAGCATATAAACATAAGCTTGTTAAACAGCTTTTCAAAGCCATATGATCCTCTTGCACTGAGCTCCTGTGTTCCCTCCTATATATTTCCAGCCACTATATAATTACTGGGCAGAGGTAGCAAGGGTTGTACAGGCCGGAAGTTAAAAGCACTCATCTCTATGCAGTCATGACACAGGAAATGTGGCCATGCAGTGCTCCCAAGCACAGCCAAAAAAAAAAAAAAAAAAAAAAAAAGGGAGGAGGGCAGAGTGTGAATGGAGCTCCACCAGCTGACAGGAGGAAAGCAAGTCAGTTTCTAGGCTATATTTTCCTTATTCAGAACATAAATACCACTGCAGGCAAGATAATGCTTTAACTATATGTGATTTGAATTTTGCATAAAGGGAGTGTACTATATAATTTGAGTTCAGCTTTAGGGCTTATTCACACGTGTTTATTTTGGTATGGAAAAAACACATGGATTTTGCTGCTAGAAGACATGTCAAGAAGAAAACTAATGTTTTGCTCTAAGAGAATGCTTCACACATGTGCAGTGCAGCTTACTGTGGAAAATAAACTACCGTATTTTTCGTTCCATAAGACGCACTTTTTTTCCCCCCCAAAAAGGGGGAAAATGTCAGTGCGTCTTATGGAGCGAATGTAAAGCGGCCGGTCCGGTATTTCTGCCGCCACCATGTCAGAATACTGGGCCGACCGCTAAGCTCTTCTCTCCTGCAGGACCTTACCTATTCCTCGCTCCAGCGCTGCACAGTCTTCCCGCGGCGGCTTCTGTGACAGCCAGGTGCCCACTGCGCATGCGCGAGAAGCGCAGCGCTTTGTGAATGGTCCGGTGTCTTCTGGGACACATGACAGGTCCCAGAAGGCTCCGGGCCATTCACAAAGCGCATGCGCAGTGGGCACCCGGCTGTCACAGAAGCCGCCGTGGGAAGAAGGAAGGAAGGACAACTCCGCGGAAGTGGGAGCGATTACCTGTCAAATTCAGGTACCCACTCCCCCTCCCTCCCCAAAGGAACGCAGTCTCTGGTCATCCCCTGTACTGTGTCTGCAGTCTCTGGCAGTCTGTGTCTGCAGTCTGGTCCCCTGTACTGTGTCTGCAGTCTCTGGTCATCCCCTGTACTGTGTCTCTGGTCATCCCCTGTACTGTGTCTGCATTGGTTCCCCTGTACTGTGTCTGCAGTCCATTGGTTATTTTTTTTTTTTTTCTTGTTTTTCTCCTCTAAAACCTAGGTGCGTCTTATGGTCAGGTGCGTCTTATGGAGCGAAAAATACGGTATATGGGGTCATGTACACCCACACATTGCAACACACAAGGACAGTAAGTAAGTTTCCAGTATTTGGAAATTTGGAGCTGCAGAAGTAGTTATATAAGAGGTAAACATTCATGTTTACGGTCTGAAAGGAAAGTGGTTAGATTAACCTCATTAACTCTTGTTCTCCTAATCCCACTGAAACAACAAATGTGAAAAAAAAACCAACAACTATCCCTTTAATAAGCTATGTGCATGAGTCAAGCAATTACCTTCTCTCGAACAAGCAGTGTGATAGCTGGAGTTCCATTTGCATTCTCATTGCCCTTTGTGTTTGCAATCTGCTTCAGGAATTCAACTTTCTTCTTGCTGGCCATAAAAATAATCTTATCCTCACAAAATACCATTATAGTGTCTGTTAACTCATATCCAAAAAGCCATGTCTAAAAAACAAACAAAAAAAAAAAAAGTTAAAACAAAAAGGATGTTGGCATAGTAAGAGGCCACTTGTACTCAATCTATTTTCTTCTGCAAAACTGAATCAATGCTAGAAGGTTATGAAAATAAAGATTAGTTAAAATTTACAAACATTTTCTGAAAGCAGAGACCCTGTCGTATAAAATGATAGTATGTAATATAATGGCTTATCAAGTGCAAATGTTCAGTAAAAAAAATTATTTTAGGGCACACAATGATCACTGCACTTGTATTCCATTAATTGCAAGTCCCTCTACCACGATGGCAGACAGGACTTGTAGTTTTGCTCATTCACAGATCTCTGAATGAATGACGCAGCTGTGCAGGTGAAGTCAAGTAAATTTTAAAAAGAGAGGTCTCCCAACAGGCATATACAAAAAAAAAAAAAATTTCCATTAATTTCTTGGAAATGCCATCTACAGCTGGGACACAATAGACAGCTTCACTGGAACAAATGAAGATTCTTCTGTACATGTATGAATGGGCTTGGAGACTTCTGCACTTGGTGGCTGTGCAGGTCTCAGTTGCCTCAGGATTTCTCTCAAGAAACCTTGACCCTGTTGCAAGCAGTGGTCTGGCTCTTGGGAGGAATTATGCAATAATAAAAAACTTGATAGGTGGATGTTAGCCTGGAGGAGTGGGCTTTCCGAGTCAGGCTCAATTTGCATGCATATTGCCCCAGGTAATGTTCACATGTGATACTGAACCTCAATGTTTTTAAAGAATTGAAATCCAATTAAATAGGTAGGCCAAGGACAATAGGGTTGGTTAGGAAAGGGGGCTAGACGATACTGGATGTCCTCCAGCCAGGAAATTAGAGGAGCTCTGATTTTCTGCAGCTTCTAAAGCACAGCAATGGACACAAGGTATCCTTTGATTGGCCATGGTGGTGACAGCTTGCGGTGCCCACTGCGCATGCGACCTGTCATATGTCCTAGAAGACTACGGGGAGGCAGGGGGGGTTAGGAAGTCTTCCGCTTCCAATTGCCTAGGTGATCGCAGCAAAAGTGGGAGCGGGTACCTGTCAAATTCGGGTACCCCTCCTCCTCTGCTCCCCAAAGATGCCAATCCTTAATGGGGCACGTGGGGGATAAAGGCTTAAAGCGGAACTTCCCTTTTGGGTGGAGCTCCGCTTTTAAGTAAAAAAAAAAAAATAAAACATTTTTGACTTTAGATCTGGTAATGGTTTGTAAACCGAAGTGACAAACTTGTCGCAGCTTCTGTTTTTTTTTTTTTTTTTACGTCACAGAGGGGAGGAGGGAACAGAACTCCCACGTCCCCCCAGCACAACAAGTGGTGGCAGTACCAGGCTCCCCATTCGCTCAGGACAGCCCAGTAAAGGTTTAAACAACAAAATGTGCAGCGCTAAAAATGCTACATGTACATTGTATATAGCAATTCTCAATCACAAAATACAAGTAAATCACATAACGACGTTATGTGAGGTATATGTTCGTAGTAAAAAGTGTGGAAATGGTATAGCAAGCGCTACAAACAGAAATGTGTAAGCAGCTAGAACACCAAAAAAGGCAACCAACCAACCTTACATTGATCAATAAAAATAGAAAATAGGTGCAGTGCTATAATCAGAATACAGTAAAGAATTCTCTATAAAGTATATATGCATCTAAATGCCAATGATCAAAAAGACCAGGATTCATCAAACGCGTTTCGTGCGATGCACGTCCTCAGAGGATCAGCCCTGATCCTCTGAGGATGTGCATCGCACAAAACGCGTCAGCGGGGCTACAGCTTATGGACATCTAGCCACTATATGTGGCCAACATTGTATGGTCAGTAACTTTTTGTTGTTTCACCCTTTTGACTAATAAACCCAAGTCAAACAGCATCACACTATGTGGCGTCCTTTATTGGGCTCTCTTTGAGAGCACCACCTCCCACAGTGCCTATCTGGACTAAGGAGTACCTTTGACGCCTACACGGTTTGATGAATCCTGGTTATTGCTCTTCGCGGTGAAACAGAGGATAGTACGGAGTGCGGTCTGACCAGAGCCTTGATGCTGGAGAGATTTTGCAGATTATACTTCTCTACATGCGTTATTTAAACACCTCTGGTGAGTGCGCACTCTATCTGCTCCTAGGATTTTTCACCTCTCTTATCACCACTGATCTGGGATGAGGACTTTACGTGTGCTTTAACATTTCTCACGGATTAGCGCACGGTTTACCATAGTATCACATCTTGCATTGATTTTATCTTTTTGATCATTGGCATTTAGATGCATATATACTTTATAGAGAATTTTTTTACTGTATTCTGATTATAGCGCTGCACCTATTTTCTCTTTTTATATGTTCGTATTAGTAACATACATCAATAAGCACCAAAAAGTTTTCTACAAACAGCACGAGAGACAGATCACAGCTGTTTAAAGCCTTTTTTTTTTTTTTTATTAAGGTGCATCTTGGTCACTTCTGTGGGAGTCCGCTACGAGGACAGAGGCTATCGCAGATCTTAATATCATTTTGGGCATATGTTTTGCCAGATTTCTGGTGAGTGCATAGGGGTGAAGGTCCCACAAAAGAAGTTTCACCACTGGATTGCGGTCACTGATTTTCATGTTCAACAGTCAATGGACTTTATTATTTATTAGTCCCTGTGCACTTTTTGGTGCTTATTGATGTATGTTACTACTACTAACATTGTATACCTCACGGTTCATAACATTATGCAATTCACTTGTATTTTGTGATTGAAAATTGTTATAAACATTTCACATGTAGAATTTTTAGTGCTATTTTGTTTTTTTTTTTATTTGGGTTGGTCACCTTTTAGTGCTAGCAGCTTTTTTTCATTTCCGATTGCTCACTACACCGTTTATAGCCCAGTAAAGGTGACGACAAAAGGGGGAGACCCCCTTCCACTGCCTATAAAAGTGATCCAGCAACTATATAGCTGCTTGGATTACTTTAACTATGTACAGAACCGCTGGAGCTAAAAACTGATCTATCACTTCTGCAGTTTCAGCAAATACCAAAAGGTTAGCCTTCCCATCCGAGGAAGTATATGTACAGCAGCCAGGAAGTGGTTACTCGTTTGCACTATTACCTTTAGGAGTCAATCGTCCTACTGATCGTTCTCACCTGTAGGGCAGTAGACTTGGCGTACACAATTTCCTCATCCACTCCCACTGAAACCACAATGGCATCAATGTTGGAGAACTCCTCTTCGCCTTTCTGTTGAAAAAAAACAAAAAACATTCTGTAAAGTCAATGAACAGAAGTAACCAATGAAAAGTAAGTTTATGATGGAGGTGATGGGATGTTAGGCTCTCTCCATGCTGGCGTCCTCAGCAAGCTGGCTACACTCAGTCGCGGCCAGCGCAGAACCTAAATGGCTCCTGGCTGCTGCGTCAGTATTAGCATGGCAAATCATCACAGGAAAGGCCAGCTTGGGGAGCCAGGCATCACTAACACCACCACAAACAACAACAGTGCCCAATGACACAATGTAACATTTATTTACAAAACAAGGAAGTCTCACGTGTTTGTTTTGTAAACCAGCCTCACAGAGCAGAGTGTAGGATGCAGTAAGAGTGGATTACATGTATCCACTATGGGCTCATCCACTACAGAGGAGCGATCCTTTCTCCCCTACACCAGGCCTCGATCTCCCACACATTCAGCAGACATCACATGCCATGACATGAAGGCTTCCCCCCCCCCCCCCCCCCCCCCCCCCCCCAGTCAGCTCTGCGCCCACTCATCTCCCATCCAGAAACATGGCCGACATTACCTTCCAGTTGCTGTACAGTCGCTTGATACGCCGGTAATAGGCCTCTTTATCCAGGCTGACCGCCATCCTCCACCCGGGCCGGGGCTCCTCTCCTCCCTCCGGAGCAGGCCGGGCTTCCCGCGTGCCTTTCTTACTCTACTCCACACGCCGACCCCTGGCGCTCGCTGGGGTGTGAGCCGACCTAGGAAAAAGCCGCGGGCTGAAGGCCGACCTCCAATGCGAGCGAACGCAACACGTCAAGCAGCACCGACAGCAAGGAGAGCGGGAAAGGCCGACCTCAGAGAGACAGAGAGAACCGGGGGCGGAGAGAAAGGACCGTGAGAGGCGGAGAAAGCGCACGCCCCACAGCGCCTCCTAATGCCGGGTATAGGCACTTCACAGGGCCATGCGTCGAACCTGTGGATGATGCGCGAGGTTTGCCGCGGTCACGTGACGCCATTTTGTGGCATTTCCCACCCTGGCCAGTGCGAGAGTGATGTTAGAAGTCTCCCCCCCCCTTCTCTTCCGCGAGCTTACAATGAAAGGCAGGCACCTTGTTACGTTCTCACACATAAACAATGGCGTCTATGTACTGGGGGCAGATCATTTTCCCTTAGTACTTCATCGCTGCTAACAGAAATGAAACCTTAAAGGAGAAGTCCAGGCAAATGGTTTATTTACCCATGCAGTGGGGCTGTGCTAGCAGTGTATGGGTTAAATGCTCATTTTTGTCTAGGGGCTGAGAAAGTAAAGGTATACTTACCTAATCCGCCAATCTCCCCCCATCCGCTAACAGTCTTGTGAATGGGCTGTTCCTGACATCATCATGTCCATAGACCAGCTCCAGCCCTAAGGACGGCAAGACCAATCCACCGCTGAACGTGGGGGAGCACGGTTATCTGGAGAAATGTGTAAGTACAGCTTTTCCCTGAGCCCCTGGACAAAATGAGCACTTAACCCATGCAGTGTGGGCACAGCCCCACTGCATAGGAAAATACCATTTTTAACCAGAGTTCTGCTTTAAAATAGAACTAAAAGGTCTGCTTACTGTTATCGAAAGTGAAAGTAAAAGAAAATCCCAAAATTGTGGGTTGTCCCCAGAAAAGTAATAGAGGGGAAATCTTCCAATATGGACACTAGTTCTGGTGACCTGGGGGTCCCAAGGAATTTCCTTTAATTTGCAGGGATTTCCTCTCACTTCCTGTTTGGCTATGGGACAGGAAGTGAAGAGAAATCTCTGCAATGGGAAACAGATGGTGAAAAAATAACAGGGGTTATCACCCCCCCTTACTGAGTCCAACATGAAAAAAAAATTGCCTATACTACTTTAACTGCCTCCTGCCCGCCATATAAGGAAATGACGGACAGGCGGTGGCTCTCTCATTCTGGGAGGACGTCACATGACGTCTTCCCACTCTAGCTGTGCATGCGCTGATCGGTGGTGCACTGTGTCCCTGGGACACAACGGATCACCGATCGTAGTAAAGAGCTGATGACGTCGGCTCTATCATGTGATCAACTGTGTCCAATCACAGCTGATCACATGTAAATGTGAAATTCTAGTTATTGGCAGTCCTCTCCTCACACTGACAGCACATGAGGAGAGGTGAGACGGTAAGCAGCATTCTTTAGAGGGGACATCCAGGGGCAGACTGACCATTTGGAAACTTGGGCACTGCCCGAGGTCAGTAGAGGGCCCCATGAGATGCCCCTGGTACCTTTTTCATAGGCTTTTTTGAGTTTTGGCAAGGACACAGGGGCCCCATGAGTTGTCAGTCCGCCCCTGGGGACATCTACACTGATCATCAGTGCCCTGATGGTCAGTGTAGCTCCATTAGTGCCATCCCATCAATGCCACATACCAGTGCCCATCAGTGCACATCAATGCCGCATATCTGTGCTCATCAGAGCTGCCTTTCAGTGCAAACTATCAGTGCCAGTCAGTGCTGCCTATCAGTGTCCATCAGTGATGCCTGTCAATGCCCACCAGTGCCTCCTCATCAGTGCCACCTATCAGTGCCTCTCACTGCAGCCTCATTAGCGCACATCAGTGAAGGAGAAAAAAAATACTTATTTACAAAATTTTATAACAGAAACTAAAAAAAAACTTTTTTGTTCAAAATGTTCTTTTTTAGTTTGTTTAGCAAAAAAATAAAAACTCAGTGGTGATTAAATACCACCAAATGAAAGCTCTGTCTGTCTCAAAACAACAACAATTTTGTTTGGGTACAGTGTTGCATGACCGCGCAATTGTCATTCAAAGTGCAATAGCACTGAAAGCTGAAAATTGGCCTCGGCACAAAGAGGGTAAAAGTGCCCGGTAGGCAAGGGGTTAAAGTAGAACTATAGGGGAAAACTTGTTTTTTTCATTTTGGACAGAGGAAGGGAGGGTTATAACCCTGTCAGGTTTGTTTTCACCATGTGTCCCATTGCAAAACAGGAAGTGAGAGGAAATCCCTGCAAATTAAAGGGAATTCCTTGGAGACCTGAAACCCTGCAACATACACTGATCAGCCATAACCCTATGACCAATGACAGGTAACGCGAACAACATTAATGATTACATTACAATAGCACATGAAAGTAGGTTGGATATATTAGGCAGCAAGTGAACATGTTGTCCCTGAAGTTGGTGTTAAAAGAATAAAAATGGGCAATCATAAGGATTTGAGTGACTTTGACAAGGGCCAAATAGTAATGTTCAGACAACTGGATCGAAGCAACTCCAAAACTGCAGATCCTGTGGGATGTTCCTCGTGTGCAGTGGTCAGGATCCACCAAAAGTGGTCCAAGGAAAGAAAACCAGTAAACCTGCAACAGGGTCATGGCCGGTCAAGGCTCACTAATGTACGTGGGAAGACTAGATGGACCTGTGTTGTCCTATCCAATAGAAGAGCTGCTGGAGCTCAAACTGCTGAAAAAAAGTTAATGCTTGTTCCGATAGAAAGGTATTAGAAAAGACAGAGCATCTCAGTGTGTTGTGTATGAGGCAGCATACTGGTCAGGGTGTCCATGATGACCCGTGTCCACAGCCAAAAGTGCCTACAATGAGCATAAGACCTGGACAATGGAGCAATGGAAGGACCCGTGTCCACAGGCAAAAGTGCCTACAATGAGCATAAGACCTGGACCATGGAGCAATGGAAGGACCCGTGTCCACAGCCAAAAGTGCCTACAATGAGCATAAGACCTGGACCATTGAGCAATGGAAGGACCCGTGTCCACAGCCAAAAGTGCCTACAATGAGCATAAGACCTGAACCATGGAGCAATGGAAGGACCCGTGTCCACAGACAAAAGTGCCTACAATGAGCATAAGATCTGAACCATGGAGCAATGGAAGGACCCGTGTCCACAGCCAAAAGTGCTTACAATGAGCAAAAGACATGGAGCAATGGAAGGACCCGTGTCCACAGCCAAAAGTGCTTACAATGAGCATAAGACCTGGACCATGGAGCAATGGAAGGACCCGTGTCCACAGCCAAAAGTGCTTACAATGAGCATAAGACCTGGACCATGGAGCAATGGAAGGACCCGTGTCCACAGCCAAAAGTGCCTACAATGAGCATAAGACCTGGACCATGGAGCAATGGAAGGACCCGTGTCCACAGCCAAAAGTGCCTACAATGACCACAAGAGCTGGACCATGGAGCAATGGAAGAAGATGATTAAATCAAAAAAACTTTTTTGTGCCAGTCAATGTTTGTAATTCAAAATAAAGTCCACAAAAATTACTCTTCCGTGTCCAACTATAGAAGTGTTCAAGGAGAGTGCACTATTTATTTTCATTTATTTATTTATTCATTTATTTATTATTTTCCTTTGTTTGTTTATTGTATTTTTATTTATTTGTTAGTGTACACTGATTGTTCACATTTATTTATTTATGGTGTACACAGAGTGATTTCACGATTCACGTGTTGCTCACGATTTGAATCTTGTTTCAATTTTTGCACATATTTGTGTTAAGTATATACTTATTGTTTGGTGAAGTATATACCAGCTGTTATTGAAGGTAATGCACTATGTAGTTTTTTCATTTGCTTGAGGTACACACTTTATCAGGATTTATGTGGAGGTGCAAGTTGGACACGGAAGAGTAATTTTTGTGGACTTTATTTTGAATTACAAACATTGACTGGCACAAAAAAGTTTTTTTTGATTTAATTAACCACTTGCCTACGTGGCACTTATACCCCCTTCCTTACCAGGCCAATTTTCAGCTTTCAGCGCTGCTGCACTTTGATTGACAATTGCGCGGTCATGCAACATTGTACCCATATGAAATTTTGATCATTTTTTTCTCACAAATAGAGCTTTCTTTTGGTGGTATTTAACCGCCACTGGGCACTTTACTTTTTGCGCTATAAATAAAGAAGTGCAAAAAATTTGAAAAAAAAAAAAAAAGTTTCTTTGTTTCTATTATAAACTTTTTCAAACAGGCATTTTTTCTCCTTCACTGATGTGCGTTGCTGAGGCAGCACTGATGGGCACTGATAGGCGGCACTGATGGGCACTGATAGGCAGCACTAAAGGGCACTGATAGGCAGTACTAATGAGGTGGCATGGATAGGCGGCACTGATAGACAGCACTGATGAGGTGCCACGGATAGGCGGCACTAATATGCAGCACTGATAGGCGGCACTGATGGGCACTGATAGGCAGCACTAAAGGGCACTGATAGGTAGTACTAATGAGGTGGCGCGGATAGGCGGCACTGATAGGCAGCACTAATGAGGTGTCACGGATAGACGGCACTAATATGCAGCACTGATAGGTGACACTGATGATGGGTACTGATAGACGGCACTGACTGGCATCACTGCTGGGCACTGACTGGTGGCACTGACTGGCACAACCCCTGGGCACTGACTGGTGGCACTGACTGGCAGCACTGCTGGGCTGCACTGGTGGGTGGCACAGGTGGGTGGCACTGCTGGGCACATGTAGGTGGCACTTCTGGGCACAGGTAGGTGGCACTGCAGAGTGGCACAGGTGGGTGCACTGCTGGGCACAGGTGGGTGATCTGCTGGGCACAGGTGGGCGGGGAGCTAGTGGGCGCACTGCTGGGCACAGGTGGGCGGAACTTGCGGGTGGCACTGCTGGGCACCGATCATCAGGGCACTGATCATCAGTGCCCTGATGATCGGTGCCAATCCCCGCTCTGACAACTGCCGGTTCTCGGCAGTACTTTCCTCGCGATCTGACAGCGTGAGGAAAGTGCATCCGAGAACCGGCACTTGCATTTCCCTCTGATCAGCGTGTCATTGGACACCGCTGATCAGGTGGTAAAAGGCCGCTGTGATTGGCCTTTTACCACATCACGTGATCAGCTGTGTCCGTAGGACACAGCGATCACGCGATCACGGAGATAGCTGGGGCGCGCAGGAGAGCGCATTCTGGGGGGACGTCATATGACGTCCACCCAGAACTGGCCGGCCGCAGTGAAGCCGTCATTCGGCTATCTGCGGTCGGCAGGTAGTTAAATTCACTTTCAGGGGTGAAAGTGTGACTTTTTTGGATTTTTGCAGGACTTTGTTGGATTTACACAGTTTGAAGTGTATTATAATAATATTTTTTCTTTATTTGTGGATACCAAATTTATATATTAATGGAAGAAGGTGACCAGATCTGACAAAGCCAAGAATGGTTTTAGGAACACAGTTTGAAGTGTTGACCTGGCCTCCATATTCTCCAGCTCTTAATCCACTGAGCAACTGTAGATGTGCTGTAAAAACAAGTCCGATCCACAGAGGCACCACCTTGCAACTTACAGGACTTAAAGGAACTGCTACTTGGTGCCAGATATTACAAAAATACCTTCAGAGGTCTAGTGAAGTCCATGCATTGACATCTTATAATGGGCGATCAGAATGGAATGGCTGCAATTTTCAAGTGGTTTACCAGGGTTATGGCTGAAGAAATCACACCGGAGTTCACGGGCTTAATGGTAAGCCCAAGAAACAATCTGGCGGTGTGGCCTCCTCAAGATGGTGGGGATAAAAGACGCTGTGGTCTTAGATTGCCTTTATCATGATGGAAGACCGGAGAGATGTCATGACATCGCATCTGTTCATCAGTGGACGTAAACACATTTTTTTCTTTTTTAACGAAAAAGTTACAAAAAAAATTATTATTTTGACCTTTTGCTTTTACATGTAAAGAGGTTTGGGGACTTAAAGAGGACCTGTCATGCATATTTCTATTACAAGGGATGTTTACATTCCTTGTAATAGGAATAAAAGCGATAAAAAAAATAAAATAAAGGGAAAGTGTACCCCCCATATCACTGTGCTTGCGTGCACAAGAAAATGCATACGGAAATCACGCGCACATGTGAGACATCACCAGAAATGTTAATGTGAGAGCAATAATTCCAGCACTTGACCTCCTCTGTAACCCTAAACAGGTATTCTGTAAATTTTAAAACGTAGCTTATGGAGATTTTTAGGTACCACAGTTTGTAGCCATTCCACAAGCATGCACAATTTTAAAGTATGACATGTTAGGTATCTATTTACTGGCCATAACGTCCTCTTTCATATTAAAAACAAATGGGGGTAACTCTTGTGTTTTGTTTTTCTTTCACTAAAGTGTATTTTTTCCCCCACAAAATTGCATTTGAAAAACCACTGCTAAAATACCATGTGACATAAAAAAGTGCAACGATCGCCATGTCATCCCTTTACTAAATAAATATATATATATATATATATATATATATATATTCATTTATTTAGACTTCACCTCCGCAACATCTCCAAGATATGGCCGTTATTAACCTCGGAAACCACTAAGCAACTTATTCACTCCCTTGTTATATCTCGTCTTGACTATTGTAACTCCCTCCTCATTGGCCTACCTCATCGCAGGCTATCCCCTCTTCAGTCTATCATGAATGCTGCTGCCAGACTCATCCACCTTACTAACCGTTCTGTATCTGCCACCCCTCTCTGCCAATCCCTCCACTGGCTTCCCATTGCCCAACGGATAAAATTCAAAACATTAACAATAACGTATAAAACTATTTATAACTCTGCCCCAAATTACATCAGCAATTTTGTCTCCAAATATCACCCAAACCGTACTGTCCGCTCCTCGCAAGACCTCCTGCTCTCTAGCTCCCTTGTCTCCTCCTCCCATGCTCATCTCCAGGACTTCTCCAGAACTTTCCCCCATCCTATGGAACTCTCTACCCCAATTTATCAGACTATCGCCTACTGTGCTCACTTTTAAACGATCTCTGAAAACCTATCTCTTCAGGGAAGCCTATCCTGCCCTCAGCTAATAATGGAATCTTCTACTCTTCCAACCAGTCCATCCCCCACAGTTATTACCTTTTGTACCACTAACCCCTCCCTCCTAGATTGTAAGCTCCAAGGAACAGGGCCCTCCTATCCCTCTTGTATTGAACTGTATTGTTACTGTATTGTCTCCCTTTATATTGTAAAGTGCTGAGCAAACTGTTGGCGCTATATAAATCCTGTATAATAATAATAATTTAGCACTTAAATTTTGCATTATTTTTAGTGTTGTTTTTTCACAATGTTTTTTTTGCAGGCTAACACTGCACCAGAATGCACACAGCAATACTGTGAATTTATAAAAACATTATAGTGTGCTTTCATTCACAAAATGATCTCCCTCTGATGAAATGTTACAATTTATTTTCATTCCTGAGCTCAGAGGAAAACATTTTTACACTGATACATTGTATACTTTTTACTTTCTGGCCAGTGCAGAGTTCCTCTAATTGTTATTTTGTACATTTCTAAAATACTGCAATCAAACACCAGGTGATAAATAGCGAATGTGTGTGTGTTTTTTTAATGATTTGTGATTTTTTTTGCAGTATTTATCTCACTATTTTAACATATTATTTATTTATTTATTTCAGGTACTTATATAGCGCCATCAATTTACGCAGCGCTTTACACATATATATTGTACATTCACTTCAATCCCTAACCATCAAGGGGCGTACAATCTAAGGTATGTATGGTATTTACCTCACATTCAATATTTTACTTTGATGAATTGACTCTTTTATTATATCATGTAATAATTTATGTAAATGAGTCACCTGACCATGTTATAACCATTAGTGAATTGACTCCATAATCTCCGCATGACCTTATGCAGGGCTGTAAATGATATTTAGCAGCCTGCAGGGTGCCCTGGGTGTCCTGCAGTGTGGGGAGGGACTGTTCAGGGAATATTGCTGTGCTGCATAGGGTTCCAGGTAGGAGCTTGGTTATTGCTGTATGATTCAAGCTCTGCTACTTCTGATGGAGACCTCTGTGGGGTAGTCCTGTGACCCACTGACTAGCAGAACATGTACCAAACACAGGCCTCTTTCTGCACAGTCAATACTATGTGTGCTACCCCCCAGAACCAAGATGGGGGCTGAGGCTGGCATTCACTTCCTCACACCTCCCAGCATATGTATAGGCTCCATTCACACTTGTGCAACTTCAAAATCGTGCAATTTTCATTGCTACTTTACAGTGTGACTTTAATGCGACTTTTGATGAGTGAAACCTTGGCTTTGACCAAGGGTAATTGTTTCTGCTGTACAAAATTGCACACAAGTCATATGTACAACATTCAGGTGCAACTTTCATTCGACTTTGGAGGGTTTACATGAAGTCTATGGCCCTCAAGTCGCATGAAAGTTGGACAAAAGTAGTGCAGGAACTGCTTTGAAGTTGCACAGATATGAATGGTACACATTGGGAAACATGGAGGGCAACTTGTCATGTGACTTTGGACCCCAAAGTTGCATGACATGTTGCATAAGTGTGAATGGAGCCTAAGCTTACCTGCTGATTTGGATGGCTGAGGTCACGAGCTCCTTGTGCAGAGACGTCCACCCCTTCAAACAACCACTTGATTATCTAAAGCAGGGGTGTCAAACTGCATTTTATCGCGGGCCGTATCAGCACTCTGGTTGCTGTCAAAGGGCCTGTTGTATATGTAAGACTAGATGTATAGAGCACCCCAACCCCCATTACATCAGATGTCAAGAATCCCACACCCTCCCTAACATCACCGTGCACCCCTTTTTGGGAACAGAGCTGGAAAGCAGAAAGTGCAGGGTCTGGAGGAGGACCAGAGGAAGAGTGGAGTATTTGCGATCTCAGGCAGAATCACAGCAATCTCACAAGGCTCTGCACAAATGACAAATTGCACGATGCCTGTTAGGGTGCTTATCATTTGGACCAAAATGCAGTGCAACACGATAAATAATACAGAAATTGTGACAAACCACATAGCGGAAATCTTGTCGCTCAAACAGGAGCAGGAGTATCTTTTGGGTGACAAGTTTTGCACAATTCAGTTTACTACTATTTCAGCATGACAATTGCAGCAGAACCGCACCGCGTTTTGCTGCCATTGACAATGAATGGCGCCTGAACAGGCGTGGTGCGGTTTGTTATTTGTGCAGAGCATTTTGGGATTGTGGGCAGAATCAAATGCTCAAGTGTGAACATGACCTAAGGGAAGCTCAGTACGTATTGAAACCAGAAGGCTATTACATGCTTGTAATTTGTGCGCATAAAGCGGAATGTGCATATGTGCATGCGCACGTGTCTCCGGTATTGGCATTGGCACCAATTGGCCTATTTCTGCTGGTTATCACATGAACAGATTGTTGAGTGTTCTTCAGTTAGTTCCTGCCTACCTGCACCTTGCCCTACTATACCCACTATACCTGCCTACCCGTGTATGACCTGGCTTGCCCTTGACCTCAGGATTTCTGCCTGCCTGCTGTGACCTCGACTTGTATTCTGACTCTGCTTTTGTACCTCGCTGCCTGGCTGTATACTGATCCCAGCTTATATCCTGTCTCTGCCTGATGTGCCTGTACCTTGCTGCCCAGCTGTTGATTAACTTTTGGCTTGTGTATGGGCTTCGCTTCTGTCTGACGATCAAGTGTCACTATGTTCCAGTTCCTAGTTCATGCCTGGTGGTCTACGGTCATCTGCTTCCTGCAAACACCAGCTGGCACTGCCCTTTACACCAGTCCTCGTACCACTCTGCGCCCTCACACCTCCTGTCATCACTACCAGGGGTGTTGGGCAAGAGGTGCAAGAGAAACCCCCTCTCCAGCTCGATCTCCACCAAGTACATGACAGCCACTCCTGTAGCGACGTCCCTGACCTTGGGATTCCAAAGCCTCTGATAGGGCAAGGAACCACTTGTGAAAAAAAATGGGTGCTAACTAGCCCCACTGTAACTAGCCTCACATACAACAGTGCAGTCAGGGCTATTTTCCTCAGAAGTACTCTCCTTGTCTGGAGCCCTCCTCCCAAACGTGAGTGGATCCATGGAACTGTGACACCGCATTTCCAAGACTAGTATTTTTTTCTCATTTTTTTAGAATTAGTCTGTGAATGTCTTTATAAGTTGTGTGTTACATCTCTTTTTAGATGGGCTGCAG